CGACCTCGACAAAATTGCTAGGGGTTTGGCTAGTTCTGCAACCCTCAGATGTACTCCCATGCTCTCAAGCTTCAACGACCACATTGAAATTTTGTTAGAGTGGCCAGAATATTCTTATTGCGTCCTCTATGTACAAATTTACAAGAACTTATACAAGCAGTCCATTATATAGTAATACTTACTGCCTCTTATTGCCCTTCCCTCTTCCCGCTCTCCGTGTGACCAATTCCCGCCTTCCTATTGTTGCCCAAAATGTATACAAGTAGCCTTATCAGTACGTACAGTACTTTCTTGAACTGACGTAAGACGCACAGAGGTGGTCGGGCGTCGTATAGCCCTGACCCAATTGCCTAAAAACAACGCACCCGTTTACCCCAGACACGCGTTCTCTTACCCAATCTCGTCGCATAAGAATGCGGCTGCGCGAGCGCTGACTAAGCGTTTTGCTAGGAGATTTGTGAGCAAAGCGTAAAGCTAAGCTGACTGATCGGAATAAGTTGAACAGAGCGCCAGCAACAAAATGAACTCTAAACATGGAGACATAGGCAGAACATGCCTAGGCTTTCGAAAATTCGGAAGAAATGTGAGTTACCCGAATTTCGTGTGGATGAATATAGTCACCTTTTTTTCCTTTCAAAAAAGACAAAAATGACACTGACGTGTGACATGTAGTCTTACCGAGTATAACAAAAATTGACTCAGGTGCATAATTCAATCCAAAATGAGGTATCTCGCAAGAACCGTATTTTTTGGGTTTTATAGGAGTTCACGCCCTATTTCCATAAAGCGCAGAATTATTGCAAAGAAATCAGGGTTTCCTGACCATAACATGCCTGTTGCTCCCAAAAGTTCCACAAGTTATGTGGGAATCAAGACTATAATATTATCAAGAGTTATTCTCAGCATAATGTTCCATACGCCATAGAAGCGGTTATTCATCGACCATTTTTCACTCCGATGAATCTAATTATGTGTGGAGATAAATCTTTCTAAAGAACATATGACTTCATTTTCTGAAACAGAATAGGTGCACCTTCTTTTCTATGACCATACAAAGATGCTAAAATAATTTCCTTTCTCTTACAAAATGACGCACGGGAAGAAGCTGAAATCCTTCTGCCCCTACTCCTCCTCTGCTCTTTACCGTCGTCACAATCCGCTGCATTTATTTCAGTCATCGCACATTCTACCTTTTATTTTGCAAAACTTGCGTATAACGTTTGTTTGACTCGTAACCTAAGCAAGATCTTACTTCCCGAAATTTTCCCTGGCTATCAATTGAAATTTTTTGTCATTTAAGCGTGACAAAACGTTCTGCGACATATATCTCGTTCTGATCACATTAATACCGCGATATTCGACGAAATCCCATGCCCGTTATCCGGCATAGGTCTCTGAGCTGTCCCAGTTTTTCTCTTCTTCTTCAACTCGTTGTTCTTCGCAACAATCGAATTACATGGTTCAACCATGACTAATTTCGTTTTTCTTGTTTTCTATATTGATCGCGGTAGAACTTTTTATTCTGGAAGGTCTATCTCGACATTATCGGCTTAGCGTCAAAAAATTGTTAAATTTTGCCTTTCAAAGGCTCATGAGCGTAATCTCCTTCACTTATGCGCATTTTTACAATACTGTACGTGCCACTTGCTATCGCACGACCCATCTAGAGGACTCGCCGGCTCAAGGGCAACAGGGTCTTGGATATCGTCTATCTTCTCTTATCGCCGTAGTTATGCGTGGTATTCTTTCTACGATCCTACTGTATAGTACGAATCTGAGGCAAACTTTGTGCACCAGCATTTCGCTTCTTTCCTTTTTTGATTCGAAATTTCCTGCACAACCTCTGCCGAAAAATTAAGATTTAAGCACATCATTTCCACTCAATCATTCAAGCCTAGATCGCTTATGGCAAACAAAATTGTCAATCGAAGATTCTTAAATTGTTATAGTTGGACGGATAGCACATTTTTTTCCCCGGCTAGAAAGATTGACCACAAAATTGTTCTTGACATTTATCGCTATATGTTAGGTCGTAACATAAGTTTTGTTGCCTTTTGTAGAAATGAAAGTTTTGAAGAATTCTTCATAACTTTTCAAACAATTTTTCCTTCCTTCAGATTACGCTGAAGGTTGTGAAGTTTTCTATATATAAGTGTCATTACACACAAAAATCCAATTTCTGAAGTTTTGAGATTTTTCCGTATTTTTTTGGTAGAATTCCAACTTGCGTTATGGTACAACCGAACTTCCGAACTAATTTCGTAAGGATATTAATGCTCCTGGAAACTCCTAAAAATTATAAAAGACATAAAAAATAGAGAAGTACTAAAAGACGAGTAAAAAATGGCCTTTGTATCTACCGTAACCAAACTGTGACGGAAGTAATGCCAATAGATCCTTTGTTCATTCCTCATCTGAACCAACATATTTCTATGATTTTTTAGAGAGTGACGAGAAAAGTGTAACAAAACTTATGTTAAGTTCCAGCAGCTAGAGATTAGGGAAATTGGTTGGGGCGTGAAGGTAGGGTAGGGTGGAGCCTTTAACGGTTCGTAGTCACATAGCTTGTGAACTTCAATTTTGGAGTTTGCAGGAATCGGGACTGAAGGATAGTGGATGTTTCAATTTACTGGAAAATGAAACTAGGAAAAAATTATCATTTTTTCATTTTATGGCTCTTCTAAAGCACATAGTGTTCCATCTCGCTCATCTTGGAAGTATGTGGCCGGCAGAGCCGTATAACAGGAATCTTCAATAGTCTGTACCCATTCCTCCCCTTCCCACTCAATATAATCTCTTCAAAATAAAAACTCTCCCATCTATTCGCTTTCTTCTGATTTCTCCACTGCTTCCGTGAGCACCCTATCCCTCGTAGTGTTTCGTAAAACGGCTAAGACACGCGACCGAACCGGCACCGGCGTTTTGGACTCTGAAGACTCTTCACAGAGTCTCTTGACACATTATCAGAACGTCTCGCGCAACTTTTTCTCGCCGCGCTCGCCATCCGCTCACCTCATCCCGTACAGAACTGTTAGTGCGAATGTTCCAGCGAATTCTTCACGCGGATCCGGATGCTTAGAGTTTGAACTCCCATGACTGATCAGGAAAATGGAAGACGGTTGTGAAGACTAATCCCGACCCGCTCCGCGAAATCGTTTATAGGGCTATCAAGTTTTTCTAACAAACATTCGCCAAAGTTGTTTCAGCTTTATGGCCTTCTCGCATCCTCCTTTCTCCTTGAGACTGACACCACTTTTTGAAGTCCAACTTTCATTTATATGGCGAAATGGGATGTGGCTCTGGATAGGGTGTGTTCTCATAAATGAAGGGAAAATGAATTTGTGCTGCACAGATTGAGAATTGCTTTTTGAATAAACTTCGTAATGGAAGAAGCAAAACTTGAGTTATGGCAGATATTAATTAATTTACTAAAACCTACTTGCCGAGAAAAATATACAAATTACAGAAAGTCACTCTATGGACTCCTTGATGGCTTAACATAGAGATGAGCTTTACAGAAAGGGGAATAGTTATTGGCGTTGATTTACATATTTGTCCCTTCTAACCCCATAGCTCTTTCAAAAGATAATGCGCTCAAAATCCAGAACGATTTGCACAGCAAAAACTTTGAGATTCAAGCAAAAGTTATCCTGAAAAATCAACAGTCAAGGATTTCCGAATAAACTCGTTAAACTTTTGTAAAAATGTATTACTTGTCTCCAGCTATCAGTTTCGATGACCAGATTCAGTCACATTTTTAAACAACACGTTCCTAGTGAAACTTCCGAGCCAATCACTTCATTGCTGATGCTATAGAACTAGGTCAAAACTTCTCTCTTCTTTTTGGAACAAGGTTTTTATGAGTTTCGTCATGTTCTAAAAAGATCGGATTGACTGCCTTTTCACGCATACAATTGCAACATTTATTATATAGGAGATGTCATGGTTAGTGTGAGTGACAAGGGAGGAGGCAGGCCGGGGAGGGGGGGGGGGGGTGGGTAGAGATAGTCGATCCGACCCCTCAGCTCTGCCTTGCCAGATTAGCTGTTCAGCCAGCTACAAGACTGATTACCCCCTTCCCCCGAAAAAAAGTGGTTTCATTCAATTCCACTGCTTTGGTACACCCTAGGTGAGTACCCGGTACCCACGGGGGTTCTTCACCGGGGCGGCGCTCGGGGCGAGCGCGGCTCGTCCGCCCTTCTGCGCACCGTCGTCGTCGACGTCTTACCCCCTTCGCTGTCATCACCGCGCACATTCCGATTGTCCCTCTTCTACAATCGTACATCTCTCCCCAAACCAACAACGATATCCCTCTTAGCGGCGGTGAAAGTTGCCGACTGATCGACTTTAAGTCGACTGTTGAGGTTGAAGTTTATTCAAGCCAAAGACGATCCTGCTATGCATTGACCCTGAACTGGGTTTGAAGTCTTGGGCCTCTTGGGCCATTTCCAGATCATCACGAGAGCAAATTTTTGAACCTAAAGCTATATAGCCTGCAATCATTTTCGCTGCCCTTTTCCTTGGAATGATTTTTTCACATTTATGGATTCCTCCTTCACGATCTCTAACAAGATTTCACAAACGCTGAAAAGCGTTGAGAGGGGAGCAAGGGTAACTGGATGGAGGGAAAGGGATGGAGGTGGGGGTAGTATTAGAGATATTGAAAAATCTTGTTTATTCTGCTACTTCTCATTCTAAATATTTCAACTTATTTTATTGAGAATTCCCATATGATTTTGCATTATCTTATTTCTCGTACTATGACATATATTTTCTTTTCTTTTTTCTACAAACATCAAGCTAGGCCTGGAGCTGGCTATAGTCCATCCTTTCCTGGAGATGCCCTCATTGGAACTCTAAGAAAATCAAACCTCAGATTCTCTTTCGTTTCCTAAGTTTGTTCATACCTCTCCTATTATTCCAGCTCAATCGTTCCGTCACTTTACTCATTCACACAGCCACCAACCTACCCTATTATTACCAATTTTTCTTTATTTCCAGTCGGGATCCGCCCAATCGTCTAGGTGCAGTTGTCCACTAACATCGGCACTCTTCTAAAGCCTGCGCCATGCTTTGGGCCCTATCACTTATAGCGTTTGTGGGCGCGCAAACAATCCGTAAGTTTGAACCATTCTGAATTTTCCCCTTAGTAGAAATTTTTACAAGTCTTGGTCTTGGATTTCAAGCTTCTCCATGTCTAGAAATTTATTCTTTGCACATTTTCCTATGATTTTTTTTTCATGAATACCATTTCAAAGCTTAGTAAAAAAAGGAAAATAGACCAAATTCTTCCAAATCACCACTAAAAAAATTTCGAAATCCAATCCAAACAGTCACAGTTTTTGATGTCGCAAGTGCACCCCAAGACATCACTGAAATTGAGGTCAGTGTTTATTGCGCACGGTGTGTGGTATGAGAGTGTGATAGCGGACCCGGTTGGTATGCGGTTGGGGGTAGGATTCACAGGAAACTGACCCAGATGTCTTCTTTTCACAAAACTCACCTTGGGATTGTACGCGATGAGAGATCTCAATGATCGGAAGCGCAAACAAATTGCGGTGGGGTGTGAGACACCGATAGTCAGCGTCTATAGTCTAGAGCCGATGCGTATCCGATTTGTGCAATTGCATACAATGTACGCTGCGCGCCAAATGCGAAAAAATTTTTATTTTGTTGGCCGATTAGCACAATTCTTTTGACGAATCCTTACCGAATGCTTCTCTCGTATCTGGGTTTGATTAAAATACAAGAAAAAACACCGGGAATGTTTACTTGAAAAGCCTCCCCGCGCTCAACAAAGTCCAAGATAAGACGCGTAAATGTGCACACTGTGCAATCACACAACCAAAGTTTGTAATGTCTGGACTGCACAAGACACTATGAACTAAGAAAATTATTGCAGCCACAGTGACGGTGTGCCCACCCGGATCACAAACGGTCTTCCTCCTACAACATAATGCGACCATTGGAAAACAAATACGAGCGATACCTACGGCTAGTATGTCCGATTGTTCGGAACATTGCGCAGTATCAAATGTAAGCTCGAAAGGATCAGTACAACTTCAAATAAGATACATTACTATTTTAGGACTGCGTTGGAGTAGAATTTCTCAACGGTAACTGCAAAATCTTCGCAGCTGGTAAAGATGCTCCTACACCTAATTCGAAAATCCTCACGAAAAATTGTGTAAAGGTAGGAGCTGAAACCTCTTTTTGAATCCCAAATTCATCTACAAAGCCCCAAGCACTCTTCGTAGGGCAAATCCTTATCGACAAATTTTTCCCCATTTTTCAGAGTGAACGAGTCTGTTCTTCTCCGTTCCACTTTGATATGTTCGAACAGAAGATTCTTGTCGGTTTTGCACGAGAGGTCGTTCCCGCTGAGGACATTCAGGTTGGTGAAAAGATGCACTATGAAGGAGATGGATATTGCAACAAAAAATTGAAACACAAATTGAAGAAAGATCTGCGAACACGGGAGTGGAAAACAAATTTCTCCTTATTTCTTTGAAGTTACAAGCATTTCAGAAAGACTCGTCGACGTTTCTTCACTTCTGTGATCACCACTTAGAAAAAAGGGAAAATTTCATTTACAAAATTCATTCACTTTTCCCAAGCGTTATCTATTTGTTCCATTTAATTGAATCCGTCTTGAAATCCAGGAAAACTCAGCCAGAAAAACGGCTCGCCTTATCGATTATTATCTTCCTTAGATTCATTTATAGGTAATCTGATATTACACATGATTGATTTTGATATTTTTTGGCACTGATGAGCGTCCCAACGGAAAATTTCTCTAAGATCTAGTTTGAATTAAAAAATAACAGAGTTTTCTCCATTCAGTTGAAAACAATTCTATTGCATCAATTGTAATTCACATTATAGCTTTCAAAATTCTTGTGATCCATTTTCGGGAGAGAACATTTATAAAGATCATTGCCCAAAATGGGTGTTCCCAAATTCTACGAGTAATAGAAGTTGTCATATACGTAGATGTGACTTGTTCAGGTGTGCATGAGTGCTTGCTTGAATTCTTTCGACACATTTGGCTTCGAATGTGAGTCCGCCATGTTCTACCCAGTGGATCAAGAATGTATTCTCAACACCGAGGATCGCCTTGACAGGTGGGAATTTGGCAAAACTAGGGATTCGAGAGATTTATAGCAGAGTCATAGAGTCAGTAACAGTAAGAGGGCAAAGAGGAAAACTTGTGTCCAGATAGGGATTTCACCTCTATTTTTTTTTTGGTATTCAAAGTTTTTTCATGTACAATTTAATAGTTTGCTCGATATCCTGTCCTGCACTGACTACAACATCCACGCGAAGATAAATACTGTGCTTGTGAGTGCCGAGAACTTGCCTGCGACTTGCCGCAGAAAATGACCATAAAGTGCACATTTCCATTGCTTACGCATAAATGTTGTCGGCAACGCAGAAAACATTTACTTAGAATCTACTAAGATAACAGTAAAACGATTGAGATAACCAACCAAGAACATTCAAACTCTTCAAAGCTTACAACTTAGATCCAGAATGTGCAGTGATAAAAGTCATGCTCAAAAACTCAATTGACACTGATTAAATACTTTGTAATTGTATTTTGCACTACTTATAGGCCAGATCTTTTCGCTGATGAAGTCGAGGACAGCGTCATCTACATGGACAACAACTGCGCTGGCTGTTAGTCATAGACTCAATCTGTTCGTCGCTTTGTCATCAAAGTAATGAATTGCTTCCAGCTCAATGTTACGCCCCCTACATAACCCAGTACATCGCTGTCGAAGGAAAACAACTTGAAAACGAACTTGATCGCATCATTAACGTCGATGTGGACTCCTGCCAAAGCCTTTGCACTCAGCGATTGTCACTAACGGTAATTACTACGCATATCACTAGTGACCCTTCATTTAATCGCAGTAAGAGGCGTTAAATCGTTGCATCTTAAAGATGCACGGCGACCCGTGATGTGCGCAATTCCGTTGTAAGAACGGAATCTGGCCTAAATTTCTGGCACCGTTACACTCATTGCTGATCTGGTTACACGGTGCTGTTCTGCATAAGGGCGCCATCTATTCCTACCGGGCTGGCTGCGCGAGCGGTTCGCGTGCGGTAGCCGAGGTTGGCGCAGGGGCGCGCATTCCCTCTTGTTCTTACTTGCTTCCCATGGCATCCAACTTGCTCTCAAGGGTTTTCGCGTTCGTTTTCATTCATGAAGAAGAAACTGATGGAAGCATTGGGTTTTTTCGTTAATGTACGCCAGTTGGCTTTCTCTATGACCACATGGTATTGAATTAGTCCAAGACCTAATTGGAAGTGAAGAGCTTGTTCGTTTTCTAAATTAAGGAAGTAGTGCATTTGCATAGATAAAAACCTTAGAAGGTTTTGAACATCCTGTCCTATTTTTATCCGAACTTCTGAAGGTAAATTGACCTTCTCTCCCTAGCGTGTGTGTCCGCAACGATCTGAGGTGTTTTCGAATCATAGACAATCTCATCGTGACAGGAATGATAGGAGGATTAAAACGAGGAGCAGACTATGAAGATATTACTACTAATTCAATTTTCCAACAGCCGCCTTACTAAATGTCAAGCAAGTTCGGGTGACATAACAACAAAGCACCTTAATCCGATAGAGTGCTTTAAGCCAGTAAGGTTTGCGCTGCCTGAACGTTTGGTCGTAAGGCATTCTTTTGGCTGCATGCAGTATGCATGCCAACATTCGTATATCTTCGGCATCCTCTTGCCAAATTCTCAGTTGGATTAACGACTGTTCGAAGCAATGGGGCTTCCTCGTAGACCGCTATGTGACTTTTCATGAGCGTGCTGATATCTCCACTCGCTGTCTGATGTTAAACAGTTGAATAATTTGCTTACTGGAATATTCTAGGTGTACTAACATGCTGCAGAAATACTCAATCAGCATCAAACATCTCACGCACAATAAAACTCTTCATCAAGTTCCTTTTGATGTGAAGATACCACCTTTTTTTGATCTGAACTTTAAATTACCACAACTAGTGAAGTGTTCGCATACGCGCATCGAACATAGATATATTTGATGCTAGATACAAATATATTTGTTACAGATACTTGACAAACATTCCCATCTTCAAAACTCTTGGCTAGTGTTATCACCAAATCATGAACTAGTGAATACTGATGTTTTCTACTGCGACTGACGATATTCACCAATATTTCTGCAGCAGTTTGAGTTTTTATATCAGAGACAAAGCTACAAGAAAGCCTTTGCAACGAATCCTACTTATGTAAGCTAAGAAAAAGTCTTAGCTAAAAGCATCCAAATTGCGAGTTCTCAAAAGAGAATGAACGAATGGTGCCAGACTTGACAAGCTCATGTAATGGTTAAAGAGAGAAAATTCTTCACAACAAACTCAATAAAAGCAAAAAAGAGAGGTCGCCGACATAATACTATGCAGCTCTACAATTCATAGCATATCACCGCGAATAAGCACTTATATATTCACCTATATACTCTTACAGGCTGCAATCCGTAGTGAGTTCACTACTTCTTATCAGCAGTCGTGGTTCGATGAACATCAAAGCCAACTTCGCACACATGCAAGAATGCGCGCCCTCTCGCTAATGCCGCCGCGCGCGAACGCCCGCGCAGCCAGCCCGGTAGGAATAGATGGCGCCCTGCATAAGCATAGTGAATTAGGTTCACGCGTAATCCTCCGCGAAATTACATGCTAGTCGAACACGATCGATCAAAACAATCATGTCATATACATGTCAAGCAAAGAAGACAGTAACAAAGCACACATGCGCGCGCTCAGGGCAGTGACGCCGAAATGAACTATAATCTCCAACTATGGCTCATTTTTGAAATCGTGACGGCGGGTTGGCTGCGGCCTTTCCGCACACAGAAGGGTAAAACACAACACCCATACGAACAGGCAACACCTCAGCTCTAAGTTCAGCCACTTTTAGTGCCTGAGTACTATAATATGTAAACAGAAAAACTATTTGAGTAGAGATAGAATTCAAGAATTGAAAGTGCGTGCGTGTTGCGCGCAGTCACGCCATCGTCACGATTTTTCGAATGCCCTATACCATACCTGGCAAGACTAAAAGGCATCGATAGAAGCGACCGATCGCGCGCTTTGGGCAGTATCGTTGGAATGAAGTATAAACAGCACTATCTCTCTATAACGTGGACAAAACAATAAGAGTTTTCAAATAAGATTTTCCTGATTCACAACCATTCTTATCCTCCGTCGAACTCGCAAATCCTCCCCTTTCAAAAACATTTTCCAGCTTAATAACCTCTTGCACTGCGCATTTGAGCCAACTCCGATAATCGTCATAGTATTTCAAATCATTCGCTTACTTACTCAAAGTTGATTTCTTTTAGGTAAATGACTTTAACTGCAAGTCATTCATGTACAACAATCAATCTCGAACTTGCATCCTTTCGGATGAAAGATCCAAGCCGCTTGGACGTGGAACTCTCGTCAAGACGGAGGGATTCACATACTACGAGAAAAAATGCTTTGCTTGTGAGTTCAACCGATACTTCTACCGCTGGCTAAAATTTCTAGACTTCAAACACCTCTTGCGTCAATCGAACACATAATTAGAACGTTTAATGTATTTGAGTGAGGTTCGTGCATCGGAGCGGCGAGACTAGCACCAATTGACCTAACTCCTAGAATTCAAATGTTTGAGTGAAGATTTAACGTATTAGCGACCCGTCAAGCAAAGAGGATTTGAAGTTGTTGTTTACCATCGGTGTAAAGGGTGGGAAAAAACAAAAGAAGATAAAATTCTTATAAGAAAGACCAACAAAAGAGCTCACTTTATAGAAAGACCGACCTTATTCCAGCGCCAAACACCTGCCGTAACATGCCCTCGTTCACTCGTGTGCCTCAGATGATCCTTGTCGGCTTCGCTGCTTTTGTGATGGAGAACGTACCGTCCGTGACGATGTGCCTCGATCAGTGCACGAAGTAGGGCGCGACATCTATAAAAAAGCTAGAAAATTCAAACCAAGAAGTTTAATCCCATCACTTTAGCCCTCCACCAGAGACTGGCGATAAGTTCGAGTGCAAGTCAGTGATGTATTACTACAACGAACAAGAATGTATACTGAATGCCGAGACTCGTCACACAAAGCCAGATCTCTTCATTCCAGAAGGAGACGAGTTTTCTGTACGTTTTTGACTCGTTGACTACGGTGAAATTCCACAAAGACAAGAGAGAGATCGAGGGTCTGTTTAGGTAGACTACTTTGACATCACTTGTCATCTACAAAAGGAGAAATGTCCTGCTGGAACCCATCTCAAGGTAAGGCAATGAAGATACTCTAAAGATTGAACCGTACTAACAAAATTGCGTAGTTTTTGTAATCACTGATTGTCTAAGCTAGTAGATCTGAGTAAATATAGTGCCTCTGCGGTGCCGATATTTGCCGACAACATTTGCGCCTGTCATTTGCCAGAGGACGCAAAAGTTGCAAATTTGCGCTCTACGGTCAATTTGCGTCCGCACGTTACGGCATTACGGGCGTAGCAATTTGCTCACGCGCGAACGTTGTCGGCAAATGTCGGCACCGCAGAAACTAGCCTAGGTATCTGTTCTAGAGTTAACACAGCACATATTTTTAGGCCGTGAGAACAATCAATGCAGCTCTTCCAGAAGGTGAAGGTGATCTACATGTGCTAAAGTCAGCTGGCAAAGGAGTGAAGGGATGCATGAAGAAGTGCGTTGGAGAACATTCTTCGGGACCTAGTGCTAAAACTGAACATTTAGGTGTGCCGATACTGCCCCAGAAAAATGCCGTTCATTCAATTACGACAAGCGAACTGGCACTTGTAACCTTCTTTATCTTGACGGCAAAAGCACACTTCGCCCACAAATTCGTCAAGGCACTGACCTTTACGACATGCACTGTCTAGCAGGTATCGAGCTTCTATGCAAGAAAAAATCACAACTAATTTACTAAACTCACAACTCCTCAATTAGCACAACTTTACCAAAAAGTTTCTGTAAAATGCCGCACGTGTCGCACGTATTTCATATGCACGCGCGCAATCGCGCGTGCACACTCGCACGATTGACAAGCGACATGGAGCGGCGGTAATTCAAACTGTGTATTTATCTAGCTATGCCTCTAGTGGAAGCTGATTGTTCGATCAACAAAGACGATGCGCTGTTCTCGAGATATCTACACACAAAACAACGTGGAATCGCAAGCAAGACATACAAGGTCGTTTCACTGAATTCCTGCCTTGAAGTGTGCGCTGGCAATCCCACGTAAGTTTTCTTTCAAAAATTTTTTCTGTATTTTCCAACCCTAAGAATAGCCTGTATCTAAGTAATAAAAGTCATACCTTTCAACTCTCCATACCAATTCAGATGTGCTGGTGTCAACTATAACCGCCATGTCGGCCAATGCGACATGTTCGACGCCATTGATGGAGACGCTGACGTCAACGAGCACGTGGACTTCTATAAGAACCTCTGTGTTATCAAGGTAAATATACAAGTTGAACACAAATTGGGTTTATACTGATCCGTAAGTTTCGGAACAATTCGAGCGCTGAGCTGGAACTGCTCCGGAACTTACGGATCAGTATGAATCCAGCCTAAGCAACCAAAACATATAGGCGCGTCAGCGCACGCAGAAACAGGGTGGCATTGCGGACACCCGTGTCTCTCTTAGCACATCATGTCTCTTTTTGAATGCAGTGTCTTTCGAGCAAGAACTTACTTATTCAATGGCTGTTGCATTGAGTGCTATAGTCAGTCCAAGAAAAAATTGAGAGCGCCGCCGCGTAACGCATCACTCCTCGCGTCGCGTTTGCCGCCGAAGTTCCGGAGTTCGAAGGCAAACGATATCGAGATTTTTAAAACAAACAAATTGCTTCATCAGGATGCCCGATATGAAAGGCTTATCTGTCTTTGTTTACTCTCAAGATCGAGTGTTTCAGGAAACCGATAGTGGAGTATCAGCTGCTGCCAATGTTCCACCTCAAACCCATCGCATGTCTGGTACCGTCACCAACAAAAAAGACGCTCGCGGCGAATTGCTTGCGGCAAAGAAGGTAACAAACTTTTTGACCGTGCGTAACCCCCAATACTAGAAGTCCTTTTAGGTCCCCAAACCATCGATTCGTGAACATGAGCATCGACGTAAGCCAGAAGCTACAATGGCCATTGGTCCTCCCGTTTCCATACCCGCTGAAGCTATAAAGACAATCTGCAACTATGAAGGAATCAAGGTGGGCAATCGCCCTACATAATTCACCACCACAAATAGAAAGGAAAAGGTCTTGCACCTCTTTTCCTCTCCGTTTCGTTTGCAAAAAAACGCGTCACTTACAAAGCAGTTGTGCAAATGCACATGTTTTCTCTTTCGCTACTTGACTATAAACACGACAAAAATAAATGAATAAATGGCGCGCACTCCTACTCCACAAAGTTGTATTTTTGTCTCTACTATTGTAGGAAATAAGAAACTCATTCAGGTTCAAATTGGAAACGGAGTTCCATTCAGTGGTGTTATCTTTGTCAAGAATAAGTACGACACTTGCCGAGTTGAGGTAAGGACATTTTTCTATCAAAGTTTCAGAACTTCTACTCTATCGGACAACAGGCATATATTCATTTCAATAGGCATAACGCGCCTCACTGGTTGTTTACTCAAAAAAAAAAAGAATCTGAGATCTGATGAAGGAACAATAGCCAACAATATTAAGTCTTTACATGGAACTTGCAGGTTGCCAATTCCAACTCCGCAACACTTGTATTGGGACTGCCCAAAGACTTTGGAATGAGGCCAATCTCGTTGGATGGAATGGAAGAGGTGACTTCAGAAGTTATCAGAGATAACAAACAAAATATAATCAACTTCAGAGTACAACTAATCCTGGAGGCAAGTCTACTGAGAAGTCTACTGAGAAGGTGGAATTGGTGAAGGATGACCAAGACTTCCGCCACAAGCGCCAGGTTGAAAGCCGTGACTGTGGCTTAGTTGATATGGTAGGATAGCAACTTTTTGGCGTATCTCCAGCTCTTTTTCCATAGCGAATTTCAGCTGAATGGCACCTATAAGACGACTGTAGTCATCCAAACAAATAATCTCGGAATCCCTGGTCTTGTCACTTCAATGGATCAGCTGTATGAGGTCTCCTGCGACTATTCAAGCATGCTTGGAGGAAAGATTCAAGCCGGCTACAACATGACCGTCGTGTAAGTTCTGTTTCCCTTTCATCAAAGACACCGTCCACACTAAGTTGAGGGTCTCAAGCTTTTGGCAGCATATGATAGTAGGGCTCCCTATCAAGCCAATGCGCAAGTCGAGGCGCAAAATGTCGCTTCGGAAGCGAGAAAATCGCTCCGGAATGACGAAGATGCACGAGGACCCCAGACGGCACCGCCCTCCCCATCCATGCCCGCCGCCCACCCGTGCACGCTCAGAATTGCCGTTCCATAAAGCGGGCCCGTGGGTTCTTCGAAACGGGGATTGTTGGGGTTTTCGCGATTTCTCGACTTCTTATTCGGAATCAGGGACATGAGAAAGCCCCAAAACGACTAGAACATGCAAATCGAGAATCGGTGGACGGTGCCTTTAACTTTCACAGGCTTGAACTTTGCATAGAAAACTTGGACCGTAGTGGCCCACATGAAAGCAATAGTGGATCGGCAAAATAGACCCTTCTCGGTTTTGGTGGTCAGTCAGTAGACGTCCAAGTACACTGTAGCCCAAACCCCACCTGTCAATTCATGCGCTAAGTCCTGTAAACGAGCTTACTCCACCAGCCCCACCCACTTCCATCAAATGGGCGTCATTGGTGGAGTTTTGAAGCGCATTTTTCAGGACTTAGCGCATGAATTGGCAGGTAGGGTATGGGCTACGGTATACTTGTGAGCAGTGGCGGTCCGAGTGCCCCCCCCCCCCTCCCCGAGAATGAATCGCGAAGTTGAAAGTTACTCATAAGGGAGAGAAAAATGTGCAATTGACTTGTTCATACCTATAAATAATCAAAATAATTTTTAAAAATTTTTAAAAATTCAATTTAGCCTTGTAAAACCCCTTTTTTCAACATTTTGGAGTCACACACAAAAACTTTGGAAAGCTCCCAAAAATTTTTTTGGAGTGCGTGGCTAATGCCACGCACCATCACTCAGAAAAGTTTTTTGTTGCCTCCCCCCCCCCCCTCCCCCGCCCCGTCCAAAACCCTGGGACAGCCACTGCTTGTGAGGTCTACTACCTAAATCCACCAGAATTCGAGGAGGGTTCAGTTTGCCGATCCACTGTCTTTAAGTCCAAGATATGGGTCAAAATCAGTAGAAATAGTAGTAATGGGGCTGACCAAAAGGGCAATCAGTCTTCAGCTTATCTTCACCTTGAATGATTATTCTACAAACAGCATTTGTATCTGAACTCTTTTTTTCAGAGGACCCGAAGCCAATCTCATCCAGCCGCGAGGAAAGATTGAGCTGGGCAACCCAGTCTTTATGCAGCTGGTTAGCGGTGAAGGAGAACAACCAGTTGTCCAGGTTAGCTCTGCGTGCACTTTAGCTGTAATGGCTACATTTCTCACTACTTTAGGCTAAACTTGGCGATATTCTTGAACTTCGTTGGGAGATCATGGCTATGGATGACGAGCTTGACTTCTTTGTGAAGGATTGTTACGCAGAGCCAGGAGTTGGAGCTAAGGCTGAAGAGAAGTTACAGCTCATTCAAGGAGGGTACGTGAAATGTACTAGCGAAAGTGACAATTGTAACTTAAATTCTTTGTTGACAGATGTCCCACACCAGCTGTGGCACAGAAGTTGATCCCGGGACCAATTGAAGTACAGTCGTCTGCCGTGAAGGTGGCTCGCATGCAAGCTTTCCGATTCGATTCCTCAAGTTCAATTCGTGTCACCTGTGAACTGGAAATTTGCAAGGGAGATTGCACACCGGTATCTACCTGAAGTCTTTTCCGTACAAGTGTAGATACTCAACTCTTGTTACCAGGTTGAATGTGGACTTACTGGAGGTCAGAAGCAATCGTGGGGACGCAAGAAGAGAGAATCGGAAAACTCCATCACTGAATGTAGGGTTTTTTTTTTCGTGATCTTCTACTCTAATGACTGGAAGCTAAAATTGCGATTTTTTCAGATGAAACTGCCCGGTATAGAGTTCCAAAGCATGCTCGAGCTACCACTTCCATTGTTATCATCGACCCACTGCAACAAATTCAAGAGCCAGTGAGCCTCGCTCGCGCTTCTACGCTCGACCTTTTCAGGGAAGAAGCTGAAGATATCGCTATTGCTGTAAGTTGAAGGTTCCTGAATTTTTGCAATTTTTTCGATTTGCCTGAGTTACCAAACTCACCATGCACTCCTTCCAGACAACCGGTCAGATGTGCATGGCAAAGCCGACGCTGATAGCAGTATTTGGATTATTGTTAACGCTCACATCTGTACAAGCCATAGTAGTATTGCAGTACATTGTACGACGAGTATGCCGTTCGAAAAAATTATAAAATTTGACATGTTGTGATAATGTGAGCCTGCTCTGCCGCTATCTTTCTAGTCTAGGCTAGCTGGTTGCTAGCCCAGATGCTAATAGCGCTGTTAGCAGTCTACGCACAAACAGCCATTGTACTGTACCTGTAGCGCTTTCCTTATATGAAACATCTCAACTCTAGATCCACTCTTCTTTCATCTTCTTGCCAGCTACTCAACAAGGTGCGAATATTATTGTCTGCATTAATGCCTTCTTCATTATACGGTTATACATTTCCATTCCTGTTGTGTTGCATTGCGTGCTCCTATGTTCTTTGCTCTTTTGTAAATCTAAAGAGGAATTTCTTTGGCAGAGTGCCAACAAAACACATCCACATATCCTATAAATGCCAACGTGATGACAATCTGTCTTTTTGCTGTTCTTCCCCCTCATACAGGTGTTTCTTAGGATATTGTGGTGTCACTTACTCAGTTTGTCGCCAACGTCTTGTTCATTTTCTCTCTTTTGAGTATAATAATTTAATAAGAGTAATTATATGTAGAATAAATGAACTATCATTACTGTGACCATTGTTAAACTATATGAAGCACAGTAGGCTCAAGACTACATGTCGAAGTCGCTTACGACAGATCTTGTAGCGAGCGCTAATAATGCAAGTCTCAAAAGTACTCTTGGATTTCCTGCGTTTTTGCACTTGTAAGGTGCAAAACCGAACCCGCGTGCGATACGGCGCGCACAGGTGGGCGATGGCAGGTGTGCGCAATCCCGTTGAAATCTCTAAATATACACTGGGCCTCAATAAGACCCTGCGTAACAATTTTTGGAAACCTTCGTGAGAACGAAGGTTACAAGTAGCGTGCGATTGAGAGGTGGTTGTACGGTAAGGGTACTGTAATTCAGTCTTGGTTTCCGTGTGTGATTGGTCGGATCTGCAGTATACTTTGGACCGAATCGAATAATTATTCGATTACTCACATAAATCATTCGAATGCGAATGATTTAAAAATTTGAATATTCGAAAATCTGAGATTTCAAATAATATTCGATAGTCGAATGTTCGATGGTCATCGATTCGATCATTCGAAGTCCATCGAATATCCGAGTACATTCGATGGGCACCCAATATTCGAAAATTCGATAAGCATCGAATTTTCGGAAATTCGATATCCACAACATAAACGGGACCTAAAAGTATCTACATGTTTGATCGTTAATATCTCTCACGAAGTTTTTCGCCAACCTTTGGTTAACTCGTGTAGGAATGACTTCAGCTAACACATATAGCAGAAAGCGAATCACTCGTTTTTCTTATTGCAATCACGATAAGAAGTTTCAGAATAAAAAAAAAAAGATCTGAAATCTGTGTAGTAGAGTTTTTACGTAGCTGATTTCACTACATACGAGTTATGAAGTTTATCAAATGTGTAATCAGTTTTTTGAAAAGCGTTGAAAAACACTTGTTACGGTGGACGGTGTACCTGGCTTAAGTTGTAAAAAAAAGCACTACAAACAAATGACAAATTCTATATATGGTGAATGTTATTAGAAATCTAATGTAAGACTTTCGGCTTTTTGATTCCCATTGTTGAACAAACGGCTCTTGATGTCTCAAAACCCTCTTCAGTTTTCCTACGGTAATTTTACAAGAGTGAAAAGATCGATTTATCGCTCCATACTGTAATCTAAGTTGAGGTGAACCCGAAGATTAACATATTGTTAGGACACCTGTATATCAATCCCCAACTAATGAGAATATATTAACTTCTTTAAACTTTTCACAACCGTCGCAGGAATACACTTTTAGGTTTTTAAGTCTCTTCACGTCATCACTAACCTTTTTTCATCGTAAATTGTGACATAAAAAAGTGTCTATTTTTGATACTTACATGAAACAATTTATTCTTAGATGTTTTGGTCTCTCATAGGCAGTCTCACTGACATAAATTATTTGAATAGTATACGAAAATCGAATAATATTCGAGAACCGAATAATATTCGAAATTCAATAACGAATGATATTCGTTGTTCGAGTATTGTTCGATTCGAAGACTTCCATTCTCGAATAATATTCGATAGTCGAATATTCGAAATTTTCGATTTTCGAATAATATTCGTTAGTCGAGCATTCGAAGTTCAATTGTCGAATAATATTCGATGGTCGAATATTCGAGAATTTCGATTTTCGAAAAATTATTCGATTCGGATATTCAGAAAAAAATCTTGATTTTCCCTAAGTATAATCCGCAGCAGATGCTCGAGAGTGAAATAGTCCAAGTACAGACCATTCAAACAATATAGCAATGCTAGAGCGAATAATACCGCAAGTAGGAATATACAAAACTAGTATCAATGGAAAAAAGTTGCTATTTTATGCTTGTCGCTCAAGTACAATAACTCTGAACTCATCACACCCAATCTCAATGCACATGACCTGTCCTCAAAACACCATATCTTATCAACCTTAGTGTCATCAACTAATCATAAGTTACGTACTTGGACGTCCACCATATATATTTGATAAGCAAATCAAACGTATCACTTTTTCGGTCTCAAATGATTTATTCTTCACTTTTTTACAATCTCAGCACACAAATCACAATCAAAATCAATTCATCAACACGGAACAAAAAAACCAGTCACAAAAATGATAAGACTAGTCCTTACCCGTAATTTGAAGCATGAGTTAGGTATCTTTGTTTAACATAAAGACCTGAGTGAATATTGCCGCACAAAATGAGATATTGAGCTGAGTAGTACGTGCCGAGAGTTATCATTTCAGCTAGTGGAATTCTATATCCGCCATGAGCCATGATAAGCACTGAATCGGATAAGTAGAACATAGCATACCCAAGAAAACGAAACCAGAGACCTTTGTCTTCATCACCAGCATTCCTATGAATATAATGAGAAGCAGTCATAACAAGACATAATGCAATTAGTACGGAATAAATGAAAAGGATCGAAACTGCGATTGGATGTTCCTCTAAGATTGGAAGAAATACCATTTTTGCTACTACAGATGTCCAGGCTGCTGTGACGTACACAAGCGGGCGAAAAATCTTCAGAGGACGAGAGATAAAATGTGACATGTAGAAGAGATGTCCTACACCGAATGCACTTGCTCCTGGTACCAAACCATGCTTACTGAGACCGAGTAAGACATCACCTATTGCGCCGAAAAAAAGTCCGAGAGCACAGGTTGCGCGGTTCTTTTGCGATACACCGCCTCCATTGACGGCAGCAAAAACCACCAGAAACACTATTGGGATCACTTTCCATACAGCATACATGGCGTTGTAGTGTCTGTTGAATCCTCCAGATTCTTTATAGAAATTGGCAACGAGAAGGAGATAGACGGCTCCAGCAACATACAAAGTCGATGTTTGCATTTTCGGCGCTGTAAAAGCTCAGAGTAGTAAATCAGTTTGGATAGAAAAGTAATAGTTGCTAAGACAAATACATGCACTGCACGAAACCTGTCACTTCGCGTTTGGCAATGTTGCGATGTGGGATGCGATGATTCGCAATTTTTTTGTCAGCGCAACTTGCTTCAGCATGACTTAACAGGTCTAAACCTGCTCATCAAAACTATGCTGCAGTTCTGAGATTTGAGCGCCTTGATTTGTATCTAGACCTCTGGCAAGTTCTAAATCCCTTCATGAATATGAGAATGTAGCCAACTTTGGTATTGCTAGATTGGCATTGAAGCAAGGTCCTCGATTTTAGAATTCTGCGGATTTCTGGGCAAATATAGTAGAAGGCCATGTGAATGCTGAGATATGAAAGGACTGACAATCAAGGTCAAGCGTGGGGTGTGGCATGCCAAACCTGGGAGGTCGTATTGAGAAATCAGGGAGGGGGAGGTGGGGTCGTTATCAAGGCGTCCGCTGCTCGCATAACATCGTATTCGTTAACAATGTAAAATAGCCCCGTCATGCAAAATACTAGAACATTAATGTTTTCATTGTCGTATACGTACAGTAAGCATAATTAAAGATCTATAAAGCATAAGAGCTCGTTTTGTAATTAGCAAGTAAAATAACCCCTGTGGTCCAAGTTTCAGCGAATTCTGAGGTTTCCACATACAGGACCACCTAAGTGAGATGGTCGTTTTCAAACATGTTGCTTTGTTTCAAAGGTAAGTTAACTATTTCTTTCTACGCTTAGTACAAAGAACAACAATTTCTTTGCTCACATTAGGAATCCTACTTCAAAAGACCCACAAATTAAGGAATTAAGAGCAAGCCAAAATCCCATTTGTTCCATTTTTCGTTTCCAATATCTCACGCTATCCCAATATATCTCACCGTATCCCAATATTTTCGCAGTATTTTACCGGTATTTACATTTGCATAGGTAAGAAAAAACAGTTATATCTTGCTCTTAAAGCAACGTTTTTATATGAAATTTCTGCTATGTAAAGAAGAAGAAGCAGTAACAACGATATAAAAAACGCAGCTATTTGATCTATTTGAAGGTAAGTTAATAGGGTGTGGCACACTCCATTAACTATATCAAAAAATCATTTTTAGCGAACGTTATTTATATGAATCGATAGCCTAGACCTCGTAGATTTCATAGGAGTGATTTGAGCCTGATTCGTCTCCTTAGCTCTGAGTAATATTTGGTGAAAGCACAGCCATCAAAAGCGAGAAGTAAGAAAAACAAGATTTCGGTTGGCTTCTAATTCCAAAGTTACCCTGTTTTCAGGTGTATAAGCCGCACCTTTTTCGCTCTAAAGGCGAACACGCCAAAAGACTGACTGTCATTATGGAGCGCGTCAAGTGAGAGCAGTATGCGATAAGGCGACCGCTTTGCGAGACATATGCGCCGCGGCACGCCTGGGTCTGCTCGCGTTTAGAGCAAAAAGGGTGCGGCTTATACACCTGAAAATAGGGTAGAAGGTCTCTTGAAGCGAGATTTCTGGAGTGGCCAATGAAGGAGTAGTGCTTCGTCTTGAGTGCAAAGCAGCTGGCTACCTCACCTTTGAAACAAAGTTAAAGGCAGCGGACAGGCAAAATGGACCCCTGTCAGATTTTAGTAGTTTCGGGTAGTGGACCCCCCAAGTACACCGTAGCCCCAACCCCACATTCCAATTCATGCGCTAAGTCCTGAAAAAAGCGCTTCAAAACTCCACCAGCCCCGCCCACTTCCATTGAGTGGGCGTTATTGGTGGAAGTTTGAAGCGCTTTTTTCAGGACTTAGCGCATCAACTGGAAGTTGGGGTTGGGGCTACGGTGTAATTGGGGGGTCCACTACCCGAAACTACCAAAATCTGACAGCGGTCCATTTTGCCTGTCTACTGCCTTTGAAGGCAGTGGATCAGCAGAATGAGTCCTGTGGCAAAACAAGATCACAGGGTAGGAGCCCTCATAATGGAACCTATCGGCCAAAGTCCGATCTTTCTCTGCCACTTCTAACCCCCGAAATTTCATTGCAAAAGCAGCGCTCATCTCCTCTCCTCTCCGACCCTGCCCACCCCATGGACGAGTTGACTTCCACGGTCAGAGCTCGCAGGCGCAATGCTATAAGCATAAGGGTCGCAACGACTCTGCGTCTTCGCCATAGCGGGCGTTGCGTTCACTCGTCCGTGGGGTGGGCGGGGTCGGAGAGGAGACGAGATGAGCGCTGCTTTCGCTTTGAAATTGGGGGTTAGAAGTGGCAGAGAAAGATCGAACTTTGGCCCATGGGTCCTATTATAGGGGCTACTACCCTGTGACCCTGTTTTGCCACGCGTCTCATTCTGCCGATCGGCTGCCTTTAATCATGCTGAAAAATGGCGATTTCACTTAGGTGACCCCGTATCTTGAAACTTCAGAATTCCCTTAGACATTGTCTACAGGGGTTAATTGACATACTAATTATGGATATGTTGCCCATTATGTTTGACACGGCCTTCAAGTAATGCTATCTTAGGTATATAGTTCAGGGGGTCTTATTAGACAGCAATAAGAGTGGGGGGGGGGGGGGTCGTAACCAGCGATCGTGTGCCGCACCTCTTTATCTTTATCTTTATATATACACACTCATGGTGCGCCGAAACAACTCGACAACATATACTCAGTAATGAAAGAAAATGTCCCTGTCACACTTCCATATTCCAACCTAAATAATGGAGATGTTTTTCAGTTTCGTTTCCGCATCTTAGACTTCATCCAATGAGGTCGTAGTCGACCTTCCCTCTGCTTCGTTTAGTTTCTTCAGCATCGTCTAAGCTTCTGCGTACTGCTTGGAAAAGGAACGATGTCACCCGAAGGACAAAGCGGAAGGAATTTCTCATCAATTCCGTAGCCTCTCTCGTCCCAGTCCAGTGACTTCATCACTCGCTGCAAGGTAGAGGTAGGCAGCTTCGGCGAGATTATCTTTATCTTCATCTCTTCCTTGACCCTGCTGACAATACAAATTGCGATGGTAAGTGGCAGCAAAAGCCCCACTATCCCTTCCAGTTCGTTGAAATTATTATATTTTGCTTATCACAAACCTCTCAGAATATTGTTATCACATTGCCATTCCACACTTTTTCATGGCTTCCACCTGCCAATCAAATGAGAGTTAAATGCTAAGAATGCTTACCATTTGATTCAACTGGCTTGGCATCGGCAAAGGCGGGGCTTCGTGACCTAATTAAGGCTAGGTAATGATCAGAGAGCACTCGCGCGAGAGAGACGTAGGTGCGTCGCGGGCGCGAGCTGCCTCAATTAGATCACAAAACCCTGCCCTAATGGTGCCAAGCCAGTTGAATCAAAGGTTACCACTGATTGCGCACGCAGGAAATTTTGAGACCTTGTACATGTACGTATACGCTGTTTCAATGACATTGTCATGGCTTTGGCGGCTCCGATTTCAGAACCGCCTCGGTCGAGTCTCGTGCCTCATTCGCAGACCAGCGGCACTTCCAGTAACTACCCAGATGCAAAAAACCGCCCAGAACAATACGCGGCGAACAAGGAGCAAGGACAGAGCGAGGCGTCCGTGAAAACTCTAGCCGCTGCAGCTGTGACACTGTCACTGAGACAGCCTATACATCATTCTAGTGGGATAGCTAATCACAAAAGTTAGAAAATTTTCGGAATAATTGCGCACCAATATATTTCGGTTACTCGAGTGTTTGCGCAATTCTAGATGTCTTCAGCTGCCGCAGAACGTGTTTATGAGTCACTCACATCAATCCGGAAGACAAAAGTGTTGCACAATAACACTAATACAGTTTGACGGCAATCTCCTCCTAAGTTTTCCATTAGTTGACAAGAAGGAAAAAGATTTTTGTCATGACTTTTTTGAAGTAGAAGAATTTTGGACTGATACCGCTAAGATAAACAATAATTAGTGACTAAGAGAAACGTAGCCTTGAGAAGCGAATCCTATAACTACTTCGGCTTGCTCTTCAATATTTGTCTTCATGATAACAACAACAAAACAACAATGTGGATGATCATGCAACAGAATTACACAAGTAATCACGAACAACAACTAACTACCACATCTAACAAAAATGATATATCCATCAACAAATTTTTAGTACATACTCAGTAACTGAACAATGCTATAGTTCCGTCGGCACCGGCAGTTATCAACCATGGTTGGGTTGGATGCCATACAGTGTCCAGCATGCTCAACCCGTCCATCTTAATATAAACTCTGATCTCACCACGCACAAACAAAAAATAATTGTAAGTCATGTTCTTACCGTTGTGTGCCCTCTCAACCTCTTAACTGGGTAGATTTCATTATCTTTGAACGAGTCAACATGAATTCTAGCGTAATAAACCATTGCAGTGCCATCATCCGATACTGTTGCTAGTAGAGGGTATCTAGGAAAAGTAGAAAGATGGTTTAGGTTGATCGCAGCATAACACTTATAGTGCCATTCACCTGTTGTGATAAGCTACTCCTCTAATCGCAGAATTATGGTGCTTGAAACTTTTCCAGGGCTTGTTTGATAATTGCAAGTCTAACCAAACAAATTTGCGGTCCAATCCTCCAACGAAGAGATTCTGGAACAGAAAATCTTACTTCTCGCCATCTGTTTTACTTTCTTAGGTAGCTTATCTCCTAATCTATATAAGTGAGAGCAGAATATCATTACCTCTCCTTGCACGTCAGGAATCATGGCACCAATATGTTTGATGCCTGTGATGCACTTCTTGACAAGCTGACATCGCCCCAAATCGTAAACCCTAAATAAAAATATAATCATTTATCTTGCTGATAAGATGCTGACTACTTACCTGACATGTATCTTGGTGGCCACAAAAAACCGTGGAAGAGTCGGATGGAAAGCGACAACTTGGACATGGCCTTTTCGTTTCGTGAATGGACACTAAATCGCTACGCAATGAATAACATGCTACATTAGTAACAACTTTTGTTATCCAGAGAAAAACAGTTTATAGTTGTTTTCATGATGAGAAAAAAGAAAAAAATGACCTGCGATCTAGCTCTGCTTAATTGGTGAATATATACAGACGCGGCAATGTCGTCGACAGCGATCGTTGCCAAATAATCGCCTTTGTTGTGCCAGACAACCTGCCGAACTTCCTGTAACAGTTTGGTTCACATTCAACCACTGATATCAAACTAGCAGCTTCAGCAAACATTTGCTCATGCGACCTCTAGCGCTATGCTATATTACTGACAAGCGACCCACATCGTTCACAGCATTCTTCCCCAAAATTTACTTGCAAAGCATTTGCGATCCCGAAATCAAAACTATGTGCAAAAGGAGCCCTCCCCCTTTTCACTCCCCCCCCCCCCCCGTTTCAAAACGGGGACCTCAGCGCTATTTCGAACAAGTCAAGACTTCTTTATAGCGCTCAAACAAAAAATGAAGATTAAGCATTAGATGTGATAACTTGATATTGCCAGTGATCGACTAACGCGCATTTCGTTTGCGTCTCTGATCTTACCGATTCTGCAGAACCTTCGTCATCACCCCATAGAACTGCAAACCTCCCTCTGATCTTACGCGCTTAGAGGTTTGCAGTCTTGTTCAAGCCAACGAAAACCCAATGAAAGCCATAGAAACATGCGAAAAGATGTGAGCATTTTTAATAATCATAGAAATCCAAGATAATAGTCTGCTCTTGCGCAAATTACGCACCACTTTCAAAATTATTCCCCATACAAAAATGTGACTGTAAGCTATCAAAATGAGCATAAATCAAAACTAAAGTTATTAAGAGAGAGAGAAACGTGCACGATTGTGAATCTGGTAACGATATCTGACTTACGTTGGGCATTTCCAACACTATTCGGTCCTTGATTCGCCGCCAATTGACCTTGCCTTCGCTTTCCTCTATGGGAACCTGAGATGGAATATTTTGATATGTTCAGTCTATAAAACGAAAACTGGCTGACCTCGCGTACAAAATCATCGGTTTGTGAGCATATTAACTTATCACCACACTGTGTGTTGAAGATGGCAATCTAAAAAATGTAGAAGAAAAGTGGATAGAAAAGTGGATATATGAAATTGAAATGATGAAATTAGATTTAGAGCGACTGCTACTACGAAAGTACTAAAAAAAATTTCAGAGACAACACCATTACCTGTCTGCCCTCGTACGCAACAGCAATCAAGGACTTGTTAGCAACAGGACAAAATGCTACAGAGGTGACTGGGCCACCAACTTTATATGTCTAAACACAAAATGGAGTGGAAGAAAGTAAATTTACATGAAAACACAAATGCCAACCTTTATACAACGGCCTGAACCCAACATCCAGAATCGCACTGTTCCATCTTCTCCTCCAGAAACAAGCAATTCACCGCGTTCTGGTTCCACGCTTACAGAACGGACTTGACCAACATGACCACGCATATACTAATGACGAAAAATATTAAACAGCAATTCAAGGGCAAAAAAGGAACTTACGAAAGCCAAGGTTGTGGGGAATGGTCTGAGATCATTTGGATTTGGCAGATCAGGCAAAAGCTCTGAAGGGTCAACTTGAAGCTAAAATAAAAAATATTTCTCAGAGCTGGTATGGCTGAAAAATCCATAGGCTTACTTTCATTTTGATCTTCCTAGGGGCCAGATAGAGATCAAGACAACGTTCGAATCGTTCCGTGAGGAATTTATCATACTGAGGCACCTGTAAAGGTCGTTATATATGAACTATCTCAACTCTCAAGTGTAGATCTACCTTCCGTAACGCATCGTACTTCTGCGGAACAAACTGCAGCCGTCGGTCCTCTGGTTCGGCTTCTTCCCATCTGAACAAAGCAATCTGTACGGCACACTGCATTAGTGACATAATTATGAGTTTCCGATTAACGTATGAATGGGCCCGTTGTATTCTCATAGAGAAATAACGAGTGTTTCAACACAGACATTCAATATTGGTCGGCACTTATTCACGAAAGTGCAATGGTGATGAGATATACGATGCCAAACTTACTTTTTCTTTTCTTCATCATCAAATAGATACTCTTCAGGTGGGTTATAGGACTCAGCGTGAACGGGTAGAGGCATCTAGATACGGCATTAAAAATATATGTGAACAAAAAGTTAATGGAAAAAAGTACCTTAGGTGCAGGCATATGCATTCGCATTCGAGCCAAATCAGATTTCGTTTTATGATCCATGGAATCTTCTGCAGCCCACAAATCATATATCTAAAAACAGATTACGAGGAATCTGAAAAATTTCACCGGTTTCTCAAATGATCTATCGAAACCAAAAGGAAGTAACAAGCTTGTTAAGAGAGTTGCTTGATTAGAAACATACAATGCAGGCTTACCTTCTTCTCCTCCTTCGGCTTGGGTTTCTTAGCCCACCCCATTTTGATAGCATGCACCATACGACTGACTATTCTCATTTCGTCTCTTGATGGTATGAATCGCGATTTCGGTTCAGGTCTACAATCCGATAGTAAGAACTTGTAGACTTTTGGACCTGAGACCAGCTGAAACCTACCTATTGTCTATAGGATGTATGCTTTTCTCTGATGAGAATAAGTCTAGAAAGGGTTCATACGGATTATACCCAACGACGGGATATTTCCCCGCAGCGATATTGGTTAGCTTATCGACCTGAAACAAGTTTCTCTTTGGTATGAAGACTGTAAAGATTGATCGAAGATGCTCGAAAACTACTAAAGTATCCCACCTGCTCATCTGTAAGCACAACATCGGCCCCCGATTGGCGATCGAACACTTTCCTCCTAAATAACACATTGACATCATCCCAGGACAAAGAAGAGTCAAACATTTCTTTTTTGTATGTGGTCAGAAAAACGTACCAGTAGTCTGGATCTTCCATCTTCTCCAAAAACGTGTCTATTTCGGTCTTTTTCTTAGGCTTTATTATCTTTTCACCCATTTGGTCATACCCGATATGTGTCTCGTCATCATACCACTCGACTGGGATGTTACCAATGGTATTTCGAAGATCCTAAAACCAAGATGGCAAGCTAATTAATCGGAAAAGTGAAAAAAAAAAACAAGGACAATCACCTCTTCATCTGATGAATCATAGTCATATTCATCCGGTTTCTTCTTCTGAACGGTTTTAATTTCTCGTGTAGCTCCATTTTCTTCTTTTGTTTCGACTTTGGCAGCAAATTTCTTTTTCTCACGTTCCGACACAGTGCGTTTCTTACGTTTTGCTACATCGGCCTTGGTTTCCGTAGCCATACCTCTTCTAAACGCTGAGCAATAACGAGAGATCACAGATTCGCAAAAAAAGATGCAAAAACTCAAAAAATTTAGATGAAGGACAACTTAGAAAATGAATATATATCAACGACACGCCAACGAAGAAAACATATTATTTAGCGTGTGAGCACTGCCGCATCTGCGTCTCGGGGCAAAAACGTGTTGCGCCAGTCATCTGCTGCACTTTGCATTTCGACAACGATTTCAGAGGTGAGCGAGGTTTTTGTTCACATTTTAAGTCATTTTTGACATATCACTACTTTTTGCTCCATACTTTTCTGATTCTTTGCCGTTCTTGGTTTTAGAGTGCTCAGAGAAATAGTTTTTGCGTTTATTTTGGTGTTTTACACAACCGCGACGCTCCTGGCGCGTCTGGCAAACTTTATGCATTACTTTAACTTTACTTCAACTGACAATTAACACGTAAAATGTTGATGTGCTGATCTATGCTTTGCTTGCTGATTGAGAGAAGAGATTAGCAGCAGGTTCTGCTAGATCGTCGTCCGGATCGCCGTAGCCTAATGCTAATTTTTTGTTAATAAAATCATGTCGAACCATCATCTACAGTGAGCCTCTTTTGGCGATCTTCAGCGTACGTGGATAGTAATCCTGGGGCCCTAACTAAGCCACTGCCCAACCGGCAGCAGGTAGTGCTCTAACGGCTGAGATAATCCCCTCGAAACTGGACCCCAGGACCGTATTTCGCATAGGTTCATGGCGCAAACCATCAGTTTCGCGCGGAACTGTGGGTTGCGCCATGAATCCATGCGAATACGATCCTGGGGTCCAGTTTGGAGGCGTATGTCTCAGCCATTAGTGACTCACCTGCTCTGCCGCTTGAGCAAGGCCTTAGTTAGGGCCCCAAAATTACTTTCCACGTAAAATTCCCATAGGTCCTGGTTTGCCTGGACGCTGCCTTTAACAAGCCGTTGCTTAAGCGGTAACTCATTTTATTTCCATAAACGAAATTCGCAACTCAAATCTTTTCCGTACTCTATTCTTTCTGGGCAGACCGATCGTGGTCTTTTAGGCAGGCTTCAGGCCGCTCCTGTACTCGCCCGTAATCGTCCGGACCTGCTGGAACCTGCCAAATGAGAGAAGCGAAGGATATATGCCTTGCTTTTGTCAACTTGGAGCACGCTTGGAATATAGCTGTTGTGAAATGCTAGTTCCTAGGCTTATCTTCTTCGCTTTCTTCGTTTGGCAGGTCCCGGCGGTTTACGGACGGGTACCAGCTCGCACCGGCATGGTCTGAAGCCTTGCTTGGAAGGTATCTTCGTAAGTTTGGGTTGATTACTTTCATGAGTGATTCATATGAGCTGCTCAGGGCGCCCAGTCATTATCCATGGAAGAAATAGGTACATAAATCTGCTTGGGAGCCGACTACAGATTTGAGTCAATTGAATGAGAGTAACGGAGATTACATAGGATAACAGTGCATATAGGCGGTTGCTCTTTTCCACATAGTCTGGACTAAAGTTTCCTTAACAAGTCCTCTTTATTACAGTACTGCCTCGGATGCCATTGAACAAGTTCTGCTTTAGAGTTGCCTCACTGTGTACAGCTTTGAAGAAAGTTTTTTCGGCTTCTAAATCTTTCTCTGTATGTTGATTTGAGCAACAAATGCATGATATGTTCTCTATGCGTGATTTATCTTCTTACAGAGTGCTAAGATGAACTCATTTCGCTCATCAGTTTGGGACCCGTTGGAGCTGGTGAGCCAAATGATCTGCATGCAGACTGTTTTCTACACGGCAGAAAGCGCTGCGTTGATTGTATACAGCTTGACTGGATTCACGCCAACGCTAGCGCATATCTTCACTGCTAAGGTATGTTCTTTGCGTCTTGATTTTATTCTCTTACTGCATTTTTCCACATTTTCAGGCACTAAGAGAGATGGTTGTAGTGCAGTTTATTGCCAGTGTTGCATGCGGTGTAGCGCTGCGATATGTGGTCCAACGTGCTAAGCAGTGTCTCGACTTCTCCTGCACAATACATGCTTTCCACCTCCTTTTTGTAATCATATTCAATCATGCCATACCGACGAATCTGCTTTGGTGGGCTGTACAAATTGGCAGCATAGCGGTATGCACCTTATTAGGGGAATACCTTTGTATGCAAGTCGAATCGCAGGAGATCAGACTGGGCCCACCGTCGAAATATGATATCTGATATGCTTCGCTGCAGTAAGGGAAATGCGCGAGCTAGTGATAGAGAAATGCTGTGATGATTAAGGCATTTACGAGCGCTTCTGGTACGGTCGCTATTTCAGCAAAATGGAGACATCGCACTAGTGGAAGATAGGACACCCATCTTTTGTGAGCGTCTGAGCTGGTACATGCCAGTCTAAGTCACCATTCACCAGTCTGAGTAATTGCAGAAAACGCCATTGGCATATCTGAAGGTGACAACTCGAACAGGCTATCTCAGTTTTGTTAGTAAAGGTTAGCCGCTGGTGTCGCGTGGCCGCCTCGCTCGGCTTTGCTCTGAGTATTATTTTTCTAACCAGCATGTAATAAGTTCTGCTTCAAACGTAAGAAAATGCTGGAGGAAACGCCGCGGACGTGGCGCAACGAGGCGAACGCGACGGCCCGACCAGCTAAAGCTTTGGCGCTCACATTTTAAACAACCTGTACACCAAGTTGCTACCATCGTAGACCCTCGCATAGCTACTTAATTCGATGTGGACCCTTTCGTATCTTGAATTATTGTGCGATGCCTCTAATTGCAGTAATCAATTACTATTCCATGTTCTTTCTTCATTTCTATGAACTAGCAATCTCTCGTGTATTTACACCATTATACGTTGTCGACTCAAATCTATTATCAAATGTAAGTGCCCGGTATCACTCAGTAGCAGTTCTTCCTTGAATGCAGTGATATATAACAATGTATAAGACATGATATTACTATCAATAAAGGCGGGTATATGATAATTGCATCGGTATGGTTGCTTTTTATGCATAATAAATTCCTTTTCCCAACAATACAGACAACAGCAGGAAAGCGAAATAACAAGATAGCAATTTAACAAAGTCATCACAGCTCTTAGATTATAAATAAAGATATATTTGGGATCTCTGCACTTACACCCTTGCCAACCCTAGCTCCATTCACAGAAGAATATAACCGAATCGTCTATAGACCTTTGAGTTGATTCATCAATGAAGCCAAGTCTTGCTTTGACGTTTCCGATGGTGCATTCGCTGCCTAAATGACGCAGTAGCGGTCATATGATCGAAAGGACTCAAAGTACAACTGCTATCATGCATATGATAAACTGACCTCAACTTCCACTTCAGTTTCTTTCGGCAGCTCGTACGCATACTCTAGACCATTTCCAACCGTAGTTTTTGTTTCTTCAGCTTTTGATTCATCGACAAGTTCTGAAGAATGATTGATGGTGGTAAAACTTTAATTAAGAAAGAACAAGGAAGGAAGAGGTTGCAAATAGCAGTGTGCTAATTTTCAATATTAATAGAGTTCAGGTAATTCAGTGTTATGGAAACCTCGAGTGATTGAAAGCAGTGGTTGGTTTTAATACTCGCAGAGATACCTAGCGTGCTCAAACTCTGTGGAAACTACAGCAAGGAACAACGTTTTGATTTCCAGTCACATCAAAAAAGTTCCTTCACATAAATAAATTTATCATCTCATTAATACGTATTCTGCGTTGTACCCACTAATAAGCTGCAGTTTCACCTCTATAGAAATTAGGTTATAATTTTATAAGAATCTGGCAAGAAAACAAAATGAAATAGGAGAGCAACATCTTGTGAAAGAGTAGAAAATTATGAGTTAGTATAAATGAAGGATTACGCTGAGGTGGCATTCGTGGTGTAAAGATTTCAAGATAAATGAATACTCACCGATACCCCAGTTATTATCCTCATGTACGACCTCTTCCTCTTTCGCTTCCACTTTCACCTCTGTTTTTGCTTCAGCTGCTTTTCTTGCCTAAAAGTGGTTTAGGAAGCATTACCTGCTTACGATAAGGCGAATTGCTCACTAATACCTGATATTCCTTTTGCCTTTGCCTGCAAAATCGATCGTCACACTGATCGTTTGGCATCATTGCTTGACGAGGGAAAAAATCTTGAAGGGCATTATAGCCTACGTACATGGATACTTCGCCAAAATTCAGGAGATATCTGAGCAGATTTTAGGATGTAATTTTGAAATGAAAATTGGTTGGCACAGACTTCAAGGTGTTTTGCACTAGGAAACCAGCGACAACTGCCATCGTTGTTGGTAAAGATGCAGCACAAACGCCTTCTCTTTTGAGAGTCCTTTCATCGATGTTTGACGCAACAACAAGCGGAGGTATGCACTAAAAAAACTTTCCTAGAACCACAGCGATAGTAAGAAAAAGGATTTGAACTCACAGCAAAGCAAGCGGTGCGTCCCGGTTCGATGTACTGAATATGACCAGAGACAGCATTTTCACTCACCCCAGATTCCATCCAAACTTGGTTTTCTTCATTACACGCCTGGAAGGGAGAAAATAATTATTCACCAGCGAGATCGGCAAAATTAGTCGATGTAATAGCAAGGAGCACAAAAAACATAAGGATGAAACTTCCAACAATCAAGTGTCCGGTTCGAATCTAGACGAAAGATCACGGATGAAGCACATTAAGCAATTGATTTCTAATCAGCTTTTATAGACTTCAGTTAACAAATCGAGATTGGAATAATATGATGCAATCTCGCAAAATATGAAATTGTCCAAAAAATAAATAGCCTCCTTCATAAACGTTGGCCAGACTGGATGTGCTGAGACTAGAGCAAAGAAAAACGAACAGAAATATATTTCTCACCGTATTAACACACATCCTCGCTTCAAAATTGTCTACACAACTTAGAACTAGGTCCACCTTACCACCAGATAAAGAACCATGTCTGAAAAAAATGCTCAGGTGCTGATGTAACCAAATTTAGCTAGACTTACCGAATGCAATCGACAAATTTATTGAAATTTTCCACAGTAATTATGTTATAGTTATGAGTTTCAATAACAACATCGGGATTGATGTGACTGAAAAGAGCATTATTTGAAATGCATGCTAGGAAAACATAGTAAATAGGAAATCATTCCAAGAATGACGGCTTCATATGCTGGGATGATATAATATGCAGAAAAATGATAATTCAAATCAAATTAGCAGTTAATCAGTAAGCGACTTACGTTAGAGTGTCTTTCGCTGCTTCGACTTTACTAAGACCAGACTGATGAGGTTGATAAAATAAGCGATTCATATTTGCGAGTTCCACTTTATCATAGTCGAAAAGAATAAGTTTCCCAATAGCGCATCTAGTGAGCATCTCAGCCACAACACTGCCAACACCTGCAAGAATACAGCAACCAATAAAATACTAACAAAAAGCATTTCTTGACTCACCGCCTATCCCCACCACTGCAACAGTCTTTTCTCTAATTTTCTCATAATCTTTGACGATTCCCATTCGTTTGAGGGCCATTAGGCGACTATAGGGATTTGAATCAACAACCTGTGAAATGCACAGTAAGTCATATGGTGTTGATCACATTACTGCTTCATTTCCAATTTCCAAAAAGTAGGTCTTACCTCTGCGCTCATTTTCTCAATTTTTGGTCGCGTCATAGTTGTTGACGCCGGTTCCGATTTCCTAGATTCTTCTGTGAATGCAGTCAGTTCCGCGGTTAGGCTTTTCACCTGCTCGGTCACCTCCTCTATACCTTGTTTTATGCTATCCATCTGGATGATGAATTCTAATTAGCGGGATTATCTTTGAATATCTAACTCAAAAAGTAGGGCAAAAGAGTACGGAAATGGGGATTGCAACATATGTAGGCGTCGCCCAGCGGCATGCTCGTAGCAGGGTTTAAGCGAATTTGACAATTAAAATAACATATTGATAGCAACACAGACTTGCTTAAACTCAACTAAGCGCGAACGCAACAAATTACACCCTTTCAAGCCAAATTCCTTTCTACCGATAACGTACCACCCGAGAGCCAATGATAGAACCTCCTCCAAACTTCGCGCTGCTTGCCATTGTTTCATGCGCGCTCGAAACAATAGACGTTAAAAGCCTGATCTCTTAGAGCCATTTTTCTCAAGTTTGCTATAGTATGAGAGAGTTAATGGAAGAAGTGAAGAACAAACTACCGGATATGTAAAGACTTTAAATCCCTGATTACTCGAGCATCAACTCGAGCATTTCACTTGCCCTTAGTGAATTTTGTTCTCTCACATCTCCCTCGATACATCACATTTCCACAAGATATAATTTTTAATCGGAAGGGGTACGTATCTATCATTTACAAGTTGATCATCAATACTGAAATGACCAGATGGAATGCGCACCAGATCATGGACTATTAGAAACTATTAGAAAATAGTAAATTATTCGATAAAGTTTCATAACAAATGACTGGAAGAATCATAAATGAAAAATAGATACAAAAAATCGTCTTCCAAGGAGGAACACACAATTCCCCATAATAGCAACTAGTGGGAAAATTTAGTGTTTATTCAACATGACCGACACGTGGAGAGACTGCGTAAGTGTAATCCCACCTCTCAGAAAAAAAAGAAAAGAAAAAAGGAAATGACAAGTGTCGGAATAACAGGCGTCCGTTTGGAGCAGACAGTGTGAGCACGTCCTTGCTAGGATTACCGTAAGGGTTTAATGCGACTTCGGATTTGTTTATCCACCTTGACCAGCAGCTGATCGCGGGCCTGTTTATTCGTAGTATTCCCCTCTGCTAGTTATCGATTTTTGAGCATTATGAATGTCGATATACCTATCAATTATGCTTTAAGCAAAGTCATCTAGCTTTCGAGTAGATTGTTCTTCCAATAAAGGTCAAATGAATTTCCAACAAGACTCCTCTGAGCATTGTCAGAACATCAGTCAGTTGGTGTATAATACGTCGCTATAAAACTCTCTCCTGTTTTCTCTTCCCTTTTTTCCTTTTCTCGCATCCCTATGGAAGTCTGTGTTTTACGAAAAAGTAGGAGTCTGCTGATTTCTTCATTTGGAAGTGTTACCTCACTTTTTTTGCGTAGTTATGTCTCCGTTTCTCTGCGCATTTATCACATTGCCAACTAATCTTATCTTACTCCGAAAAATGGCGATAGATAGTGCGATGACGGCAACAAACTGCGTTCTTGCTTCAGTGTTTATTTTGCAATGTTTTGATAAGTTCCGAACTCACTATCGCACTTCGTTTCGGGGTGTGGTACGGAAGATGACAATCTCAAATTTTGTGTCTCTCAATTATTTTTCGATGTTAAGGTTCTTTTTTTTGCATTATTTCAAAATAGTTTTAGGATAAAATTTTTTTGAATGTTGTTGAAATATGAATGTCAAAAGATTGTGGATTGAGTTCAAGATAGGATTTTATTATTCACTAGATGGCAAACCTGGCTCCGCCCGGGACCAAACTCTGCACACATACACTTCGGGGCAGGGAGCGTGTCATAGTCCACTTTTCGTTATCGATCGATGTCGATTTTACCGATTTTTTGCAAAATTTGAGCTAGGGGGCTAGGATTTTGCACAGGGGGGTAATCGAGCATTACCCCCCTGTGCAAAATCCTAGCCCCCTAGCTCAAATTTTGCAAAAAATCAATAAAATCGATATCGATCGATAACGAAAAGTAGCCTATGACACGCTCCCTGCCCCGAAGTATATGTGTGCCAAGTTTGGTCCAAATCGGTCCAGAAATAAAAATTTCTATTCCGCACATACGTACAGACAGACATACAGACATACATACAGACAGACATTCAGCTTTATATATAAGATGAAAATCTTGAGTGGAGTATGGTTAGTTTGATGTCATTTTAATAAATTTAATACTCTTTTATGAATGTGTAAGGCATCTCAACAAATTGTATTGGATTCATGAGATGAAGATTCGAACCCCATATAATGGGTACTAACATCCAATGGAATCGGGAAAAATATTTATTGTATTACATTGATTATATTCTTGATAACAGTTTCTGTAGATTTAGCACATACATTTTTAAACAAAAAATAGGGGTATCACAAGGAGGTAATTTTAGTCCATTGTTAGCAGACCTGACACTATCTTGGTATGAATACAAGTATATCTATATCTATATATATATATATATATATATATATATATATATATATATATATATATATATATATATATATATATATAACCCAATGTCTGTGAGGATGTTCGTTTAATTGTTCGTTCGTTATAGAAACGCCAGCCATTGAACCGATTGAGCTGAAACTTTGCACACATATGTTTTCGACCCCGGCGGTGGTTTATACCTACTTTTTACGGCGATTCGCAGGGTCCTTCCATTGATTTATTGATTTGTTTACTTAAATCCGGGAAAATGAAAGTCTGACGTGCTCTAACCAATCATTTTCCAATAAACATGTAAGCAGGGGTGGTAAAGTTCATTCTACTTTTAAGATCGACAGGATGCAGCGGTTTCGTCTCAAAGCGCTTTTCGCGCGCTGTAGAAGTTAGAAAGTGTAAGTATGATCGAATTCCAGATTCGTGCGGAGGCGGGCTGCCGACTTTACTGATTTCAAGGATAAGCTCAACGAGAGAGAGAATGCGAATACAGTGCTATAACGTGGAGATTTAACAAGTTTATTCTGAAGATCAGGGAAGTTCGCAACCCGCCTCTGCACGAATCTTTGAGCCCATGGCATATTAGTTAAACTAAGAGTCTCGGGTGAGACCGGGGCCATCAGCTAGTAGTTAATAAAGTAAATAACAATAAACAACTTTTTGCATTTCGTTATATGAATGATCTATTAATCATACACAACCGCACTGAACCTATAATTCATAATATTAGGCTGAACCGAAAGTTCTGTCGCACCATTTTCAAAAAATCATAACTTCTTTCCCTCACAACGGTTTTGCGCAATTCAAATTTCATCTGAAAGCGTAAAACACGTAGTTTCCAAAAGCTCCCTGGTGAATTTCTGACATGCTCAGATGGCAGAGATAAAAATGAAAGAACGAGATCATTTGAAATTCGGAATTTTTAAGCAAGAATTCTAAAAATTCAGAAACTGTGCAATAAAATCCAGAGAAGCCATTATCCTAATTTTTCTTACATTTGATTACTAACTGAGTCAAATTTGTGCTGATCGAGGTCTTCTTTCAGGAGTTATGAATTTTTGAAAAAAAATGCCAAAAAATCCATTTCTTAAGAATTCTTAGGAAAGTGATTTTTCGGCATTATTTTTCAAAAAATCATAACTTTTGAAAGAAGACCTCGATCAGCACAAACTTGACTCAGTTAGTAATCAAATGCAATAAAAATTAGGATAATGGCTTCTCTGGGTTTTATCGCACAGTTTCTGAATTTTTAGAATTCTTGCTTAAAAATTCCGAATTTCGGATGATCTCGTTCTTTCATTTTTATCTCTGCCACCTGAGCATGTCGGAAACTCACCAGGGAGCTTTTGGAAACTACATGCTTTACGCTTTCAGACAAAATTTGAGCTGCGCAAAACCGTTATGAGGGAAAGAAGTTATGATTTTTTGAAAATGGTGCGACAGAACTTTCGATTCAACCTAATATAATCAAAAACGTATATGATAACAAACTAAGTTTGGAAACTACTCATATAGATAATTTACATTGTAATTATTTGGACTTACATATTACAATCATTAATAACAGAATCACAACTAAAATGTATAACAAAACTGATAGTTTCCCTTTTCAAGTAAAAGGTTTATACACATCACTTCTGGTGTATCCAATCACATCAAAACGCAATTGTTTACACAGAAACTTTAAGAGTTGCCCGTACTTACACTTATCTTGACGATTTTGTCAAAAAAAAACACTACAGTTACGAAACTTACTTATTTCCAATGGATACAATGAAAACATGATTTATACAAATATTTTCAAATGCTTACATAAGAATAATTTTATACTATATAAATACGAATTTTACAATTACGATAAAATTAAAAGATTATTACACATTCTACATCAAAATTTACACAATATATAGTTAATCGATGTAATATACGTCTTATACCAGCCTTCAATTAAGCCATACGATTCTAATCAATAGCACATATCATTAATCAGTATAGTTATTTCAATACAAATCTACTACAAGCAACCAATTTGGTAAAGTAGTCTATCAAAATGACTAACATCATCTATATATATATATATATATATATATATATATATATATATATATATATATATATATAATATATATATATATATATATATATATATATATATATATATATATATATATATATATATATATATATATATATATATATATATATATATATATATATATATACTAGCTGGCGTACCCGGCTTCGCACGGGGCCAAACTTTGCACACATACACTTCGGGGCAGGGAGCGTGTCATACTCCACTTTTCGTTATCGATCGATGTCGATTTTACCGATTTTTATCGATTTTTTTGCAGAGTTCACCTACAGGGCTAGGAGTTGGCACAGGGGGGGGAAGTGAGCATGGGGATTCCGAATACAATATTAGTTTTCAGAATTATCGATTACTTTTATTGATTTTATCGATTTTTTTTGTAAAGTTTGACCTGCGGGGCTGGGAGTTTGCACAGGAGGGTAATCGAGCATGGGGATTCCGAATACAATATTGGTTTTCAGGATTATCGATTACTTTTTATCGATTTTATCGATTTTTTTGCAAAGTTTGAGCTACGGGGCTGGGAGTTCGCACAGGGGGGTAATCGAGCATGGGGATTCCGAATACAATATTAGTTTTCAGGATCGTCCATTACTTTTATCGAATTTATCGATTTTTTGAAAATTTGAGCTAGGGGGCTGGAATTTGGCACAGGGTGTAATCGAGCATGCTGATCACCCCCCTTGGGGGTGATCAGCATGCTCGATTACCCCCCTGTGCCAACTCCCAGCCCCCTAGCTCAAACTTTGCAAAAAAATCGATAAAATCGATAAAAGTAATCGATAATCCCGAAAACCAATATTGTATTCGGAATCCCCATGCTCGATTACCCCCCTGTGCGAACTCCCAGCCCCGTAGCTCAAACTTTGCAAAAAAATCGATAAAATCGATAAAAGTAATCGATAATCCTGAAAACCAATATTGTATTCGGAATCCCCATGCTCGATTACCCCCCTGTGCCAACTCCCAGCCCCGTAGCTCAAACTTTGCAAAAAAATCGATAAAATCGATAAAAGTAATCGATAATCCTGAAAACCAATATTGTATTCGGAATCCCCATGCTCGATTACCCCCCTGTGCCAACTCCCGGCCCCGTAGGTGAACTCAGCAAAAAAATCGATAAAAATCGATAAAATCGATATCGATCGATAACGAAAAAGCCTATGACACGCTCCCTGCCCCGAAGTATATGTGTGCCAAGTTTGGTCCCGATCGGTTCAGAAATAAAAATTTCTATTCCGCACATACGTACAGACATACATACAGACATACAGACAGACATTCAGCTTTATATATAAGATATATATATATATATATATATAACTCAAAAATTGTCAGTTTGGAGGGTGTGCGTTATAGAAACGCGCGCCGCTCAACCGATTAAGCTGAAACTTTACACACATATGTCTTCGAGCCTTGCGCAGATGATAGGCTACTTTTTGCAGCGATTCGTTGGGTCCTTCTATCGATTTATTGATTTGCAGCACTTTGCAATAAAAATGATTCTTATCATTTGCTATCAAAACAGGGGTATGTAAACAAGGCTGGCATGTCTCATTGTGAACTTCTGTTGACGAAGTGCAGTGAAAAGTGTTCTTGATATGAGTCTCAATTGCTCATTTAAATGGATGCACTAAATGTATCTTATGCGGAAACCTTAGCGTGCAAGAGACCATGAGTGCTTTGTAGCGAGTGTTTTGTATGGAAGCGTGCTCAATTTACGCTTATAATCAATGCTTTCTTCGTTACATGCTCAATTTAAACAATGAGGGGTCAAAATTTTTCATGAGATTGCGTACAAATTATTTGTCAATACCAGAAATAATGTCAAGACAAGCGACAACTCACATTCGCTATAGTTGATCCCTGGGACCAGGAAAGTGCGCGAGTGCAAAGTACTGCCGACTCCACAAAAATTGACGGCAAGCAGTGAATGAAGATGAAGTAGCCGGTTAACGGCAAAGTGTCACAAAAAATGATCCTCATAATAACAATGAGCGCTGCTATCAATTAACTCGCGCTGCTTGCTTAGGTTTTGCGTGTTGAACTTGATTTGGAGAAAGAGAGGTATGCTACCGACTAATAAGTGTTCACATTTTGTTTTTGTTCTTTACACAGTTTCTACAATGCCACCGAATACCTTATCTTCATTCCCGATCAGTGATCATTCCCGGGCTGGACCGGGCAGATCAGCTAGTAATAAATAAAACCAACTACAAAAACACTAACATGTTTCATTTTATCCTTTAGTCTACCGAAATGGTCACTACTATAGTTTATAGTATATGATCAATATATATAATGTATCATATATTATTATATATAATGAAAGACGGAGTATAAAAATTGTAAGTTGTTAAACTTCATCTATTTCAACAACATTCAAAAAAATTTTATCCTAAAACTATTTTGAAATACACAGGACTCATGAACTCTCCTTCCTTACTGATGAGTTCCGGGGAGAGTTCTGAGCTCCTTTACTCCGTCTAAGGACAGGAACGAAACGGAGTTAAATTAGTTCACTGCAAAATTGATTTCCATATTAAACAAATTATGGCACCACATTTTGTATATAACTGTCTCTATTTCTATTTCTATTTCTATTAGTGTGCAATCGGACCTTACAGAGTGCCCAAAAAATCAGGACACGGGACTTCCTAGGGAAACTGATCAGGAGGCCTTAGCTATTCCCCCCCCCCTCCCAATCCCATGCGGAGCATTCTCACGTTAAGCTCCAACAAGTCTTCAAGGAAAAACTTCTACTTTACCATCCATTCGGACAGCCATATATGACATGACTGCGAAAGCCTTAAATTTTGATTTATTAAAAAGCAAGCAGCGTGCACAAATCAGATGGTGAAATTATTGAGACTGCTATTATTCTTCTTTCATCAAAGGCAGGTGTACAGAACATCAGCGATATGGCCCTGGCCAGACTTCGCTTAAAAGCGCCCAAAAGCGCTTAAAAGCGCCCAAATTTCTTTGGTGTCTCTTCACTCTCTCGTGTGAGGAAAGGTGAGAGAGAGTGAGGAGAGGTTAGAGAAGTTTGAGCGCTTTTGGGCGCTTTTGTGCGGTTTTGGGCGCGTTTGAGCGAAGTCTGGCCAGGGAATATGAGAAATGAAATGCTTGAAATGCTGCATGACCTAGGGAATTCGCTAAGGGTTTATCTTCCTCTTTTTGCCCTATACCGTCACTTCTGTGCTGGTCGACGAGTTGTAGGTTTTCAATAGTAACGTCTTCAGAGCTCTCCCGCTCAACACGAAACTCCAAATGGTGACGATGGCAGCCGATAATCCTAAATCCATCAATAATGCTCATCGAAATCATCAGGAAGAACCAAAGGAAACATACATCACGGTGATGAATATCAGATCTGAGATGAGTAAGTCCTTTCCATTTTTATTTCATCAAAAATTCGTTCTCATACTTTTTCTACTTCCTTTCTCTTCCCCTCGTGTACTTCATTACTGGTGTTCTCTCTTGTTTTCTCTGTTTCTTTTTTGTTCCTCTCTGCATCCCCATCCGATAAATACCTTCATTTGCGCGATCTCTAGCTCATATGTATGCATAAAATAATTCTTAAGCGCTAATACTGTGGTAAGTAAGTTGCGACTACGGTAGTTATCGCATGAGTTACGTCAGTTGCTAAAGAGCTTGGTATCCATGGTATCGTTGATGATTTCATGAGGATTTCATCTTCATCGGATATGTAGATTAGTGGTAGCAATCATCTGCCGCACTTTATCATCCCGTAAGTGACGATGGCGATGGCTAGCAGTTAGGAGATGGTAGCTTAGGAAGTATAGATGTCTTTGCGGCATTTCATACATCGTTTTCACCATATATAGTGAAATTTTTTGCAAGTCTCAGTTTTTGCATTCCTGTAGACATTATTACAGTATGCGAATGCGTTATTTTCTATTTTTTTGAGTCCCCTTCATTCTCTTGCATTTTTTTTCAGTTCCTTTTCGATTGATCTTGCGCAGTCTGGTAAGCAGAATCCAGATAATATATTTACTGTCGAAAATGCCCCATCTTTCTGTTCGGTTTCTTTTCTCGGAATCCACGCCTTTCTTCTTATACCTTTGTTTTTCTCAAGTTTATTGAACTTTACATCAACGCGCAGTTGCGACGTTATCTCAAGATGAATAGCGTTCGCACAGCTGAATGACCTTTATTTGACCCCGTGTGTCTCTAAAGCGTGCATGCGATGGCATAGCTGCCCGAGCAATTATTACCTTTTCTGGTTTTTTTTGCAATTACCTTTTTTCATTTCTTTCAGCCCGTTTGCTACATTTTCGATGTACCCCTTGCTTTGTTCGTAATTGTACAATGCAAAACATCTCTTGCACCATTTCTCGGTGAGAAACCAAAATGTGGTTTTCGATCTTCATTGATTTTGTCTGTGAACCTTTCTTTTTCTTTACAAATCATTCCCGATCGTTCAATGGACGACAACGTAAGCGATCGATGAAGTATGCAAGGGTGTTTTACAGTCGTTTACCACGTTTCCCTTTGCAAAAGTTCTTTCTGCAAAGTGTACCAAAGTTTCCCTTAAAATCCCTGATTTTAAAGCCCTGATTTTAAAGCTTTTCCATAAAATCAGCATAAAACGCCAATTTTTGTATTGAGTTTGCCGTCTAACCCTAATAGCCTTCCATCGTGTACATACTTCCTCTTCCGCTTACGTGAACTTTCAAGACCAGATCAATACTTGTTGAAAAAAAAAATGACTTATGAGATTGTGCGAGACGTGGTGTTAGTTCGCTTTTCCGAAGTTATTTTATCGCCTGCATGCAGGCGAGCGCACACCTCTACTCCGTTTCCATCGAATTCCCGCTACAGTGCATAGATTGAATCTTATTTTCTAGGTTAATTATAGAATTTATCTAGTAGATTGCAAACTTACCACTCTCTGCGCATATATGTCAGAATACAGTTTATCGCTCAGTAAAACCCTATATTATTGTTTTCTGAAATTGCTTGCTTTATCAAAAATCATTTATGGTCATCTCCATCATGCACAGTGTGTATCTAACAGTTATTCGAATGGTAAGCTGTTGCTTCACCTGGTTTTACATTAGATTCTTCCAAATTTTTTGAATCAAGACCCAAAGTTGACTCACATATATATCTAACACTGCAAAGCTTTCCCGCCATAGAGAAAATGAAAGGGGGTGACTTTTTCAAAAGCTACCTGAGTAATTTAGATAAAAGCTGTCAGCGGTGGCTCGGAGTCCAGATTAGAATAACCCTAATATCAGGCGTATAGCACGCGGGGGATTTTTTTTTCCAAAGTCGAATAGCACAGATACGCCGAAGGACTTCGCGACCAGAAACCTATTTACAGTGCTGCATATTGTCTGAGAGTGTCGTGTGGCGTAAATCTCGTTTTCCTAAACACAACAAGCCGGTTGAGCGGTACGCTTGAAAAACCGAAAAAGGTGCGTATAAGCGTGAAATTAGGGTAATAAAAAAGTGGTGAAGGTCATCGTTTGACTTTGGAGTGTCTGAAGACTTCCAGGTCTTTCAAAACCTTTTGAGGTTCTCTTTTGCTTAGAAATCTCATGCTGAAATCCGAGCGACCCTGAAAGCTCAAGAACTCTGCCGACATCATCACAATATTCTGAAGTGTAGCTGGATAATCCGACACCCGAACGTTCGCATTTATCAACATGGTACCACATCAGTACTTGAGGTGCAAAAATCCCAGTTAGATATAGAAAAGTATAAACTGGAGATTTAGAGCTAACAAGCGATCTGCTTTCTTATGACACCTTAACGTTACTAGAACTTTTGGGAAGTAATGTAAGTTAGTCCCGATGCAGTGTGTTGACAAATATCGTTATAATTATGTTGGCGGAGATGTATACTTCTGTAATAGCCCTGATCAATAGATTAGAAAATTTAGGACTACAAATTCTAATTTTTCATAAAAGACTACAAAGTATTTAGTTGTTCAGCCCTTGACGGGCTTCCGTAGCTAGAATTTTTTATTCAGTTTAGAAGCCATATAAATAAATGTTGCAAGCACTCTCTATTTCTGTTTTTTTTTTCAAGGAATTGGAACCCATATAGATATTGCAGCCAATTTAATTAACCCAAGTAAAAAAACGATTTTAGTTGTAAAAGTATGGTCATTTTTTTAGCTAACAAGGGAATGGTCAGAAGTCGAAGTGGCCAATCCAAGCAAGCTGCCAACCATCCGATGCAGCATTCAACGCTGATCCCAAATCTGTATTCTGTATCTGCTTAGCGCCTTTGTGGATGAAATTATGAGCAGTTTTATTGCGAAAAAAAATGGTACAAGAACTTGCGCAAATGAGCGCATTGTTGCCTTCCAGCTTACCTTTAGGCTTCAAGAATACGAAGTAATTTAGCTGCATGTTTTGGTTCAGCACTAAGCCGAACATGGCTCTGCCATGCAAATTTGCGCTTTACATGCATGATTTTTTTCGCAAAATAATGACCTTTGAAAACTCATGACTTTGCCCACATAAGCGCTAAGCAGACAAGGAATTAAGATTCGAAATCAGCGTTTTATGCTGCATCTAACGGTGTGCAGTTTGTTTGGATTGGCCACTTCGATTTCTGACCATTCCCTTGTAAGCATTAAGCATCGGAACTTTGCTGATTTCTTCTGTTTTATTGAAAAGCAGCCATTGTCGAATTAAGTTCACAAAAAATTTTTATGCTGAGGATGTTAGCTTTTGGTCATGTGCCGCCATATGATATGTACTAAAAGTGCGGTCAGAGGTCACTGAGACTAGAGCTAGCATTCATTTTTCGTTTTGATCGATTTGTCTGGAATATCAATCAACAATCTGTCCTTTCAATCTTGTTTTTTTTTGCGAATAGCGGCTAGTTCCTTGTCATATATCCACTTTACATTCAACGACTTCGCTGAGAGTTTTGTAGCGAAGGAAGTGTGGGTGCAGAGATTCAATCAGGCGAAAATCACAAGGACAGCACAGGAAAACTTTTTACTTTTTCGTAACACAGCTGGTTATTTAAGAGAAAAAGACTTGAGTAAAATGTATTAGCCTAAAATGAACATAATCTAATACTTGATACTTTGGTGAGAATTATGTAACGGGCTTTGACTTGGATATCGGTTGGTTTTGACTGTGCAATGCTAAAAGGTTCAAGGATATCTAATTCTATTTGTCGCTATGGTTTTATGACATACTCTTTTGAAAGAAAATCGAGTCGTTTGAATGTCTTTACGAATAGATATCATTTTCGAATTTTATCGACATCTCGGTTTTGTTTTATCTCGATTTCATTTTATAATATCTTTGAATGCATGGTAAAAATGGGACATGTGTTGTATTTTACATAATTATCATGGGTTATCTAATGAGTTTGAACGTTTGAACATCTATAGAACAATTTTTTGAAAATATTCTTGGTGCAAGATTTGTGGACTAACCTAATATGTAACCATTATTCAATTTCTCTACATAATGCGTAAATCGTCTAGAGCTCTTTCGATGTCTAGGAAATGCTTAGGCTATAAGATGATTCGGAAAATTGTTTTCGTTCCTGCTTATCCCCTGGTCTCAGCGAAATAAAGATCTATCACGTTGACAAAAACATTGTTCATCGCAATTCGATCCACGAAGAGGCGTGGCAGAATGACGTCAGCAGCGGCATTCCCCCATTTTCCGAGCGTATAACCTGATTCATGAGACCCGTAGAGTTTATCGACCACTGAGAAAAGTAAACATCCGTGTGTGGCGTACGATCTTCCACACTTTTTGTCGCTCTATGCGATCCATCCTAGCGCTCTGTGATTCACCGATAATCTATTACTTGGAACACGCCTCAGTCCTGCTAGCTAGTTAGCTTCCTGTTCCTCCGCGAGGAAATTGCGCTTAGAAAATGGTGGTATCGTCATTTAGAACTGTCCATCTGCGTATTGCACTACAAAAAGTTGCAGAACTAGTTGGTGGGTTTGTCTGGCTCGATTCCCTTTTTTTTCTGGTTTTTGGGATCATTTCAACTCATTTTAATAAATTTGGATCTGAAGTACAATTTCTATAGGTGTCAGTTTCTAGCCAGTCGAGAGAAATTAGGCGCAAGATGTCTGAGGCTCTTTCTGTAAACAAAAGAACAATTTTTATTCATTATTTTACCAACTTTTTTGTTAGCTGCCCTGTCCCTGGCAGATGCTCTGCATCTTTATGATTCGATTTTTGCTTTTTGAGCGCCAACGCCAGATGTTTTGCGCCTAATCATGGTGCAGAAGAATCTTTTCGCTAGATCACGTGATTTTGGTAGCTACTTGATGAAGTGAGATTGTGGGAGTCATGTGAGATATAAATCGGAGAGTTGTGGGAGATGTCAGTCGATATTGGTGTTGGGCCTAATTTGGATTTGAATAATGACAGTAGTTTGATGAATACGTCATGAACTGTGATTTTTCGATTGTTGGTGGAAAACTGAAAGGGCACGCTTTGCTATTGAAGTGGTGAATGACGTACGTCGTAAAAAAGTGAAAGGGGTAAAAAGAGATAGATCCGCTTATTTGACCGATTGAAAAGGCTTTACTATTGTAATAGTTCTGCACAAAAAATGTCAGTTCGAGCCAGTCCTTAGAAAATGTATGCTGTATAGTACTTCCACACTAATACTAAAGATAGTTCTTTCAAGGGAAGCGGGGGGAGGGGAACTGATTTTTAGTCTATCCCTTTTCTATAATGTACGAGTTTTGTAAGAAAATGAACTTCAATTGTCAGTTAGCTCATCAAAAGACCGATAAAAGTCGAAGATGACCGATAAGTTCAATATTTTCTAGAAAATTCTGTTATTTTATCCAACAATTTAAATGTCAATGATTTTTTGGTAAAAATCTTGTACGGAAGCGAAACTGTTGTAGACCCTGAAACATCGTAAAAATCGAAAACCTTTGTTCAAACACGTAATTGTCTGCGCGAGTGTCGAAGGAGAGCAATGCCATATGGCTCATGCCCCTCCCAGAGCACTGCGCACGATTGATTTGCGTGGAAGCTAAGCCTCTTTATATTCCTGACTCAGTAGTGCTAGGAGCCCTTTTATGCGACTGCTAAGTCGCCTTGCTGGACATGCGGCTAGACTTCAAGGTATGCTAACAGCAGAATTTGTAGCAAATGATAGGCCTTTTTTCTCAATAAGATCTCAAAAATTGTCGAAAGGAATTTTCGAATAATTCCCTTCTACGTAGTCGATAAAATCAATCCAAATATGAAAGTCCATAGACCTGCTAAAACATAGCATTAGTTCTGATTACGTAAGCGACGATCGTTCTTTGAAGAGTCTAAATTGTTGCCCGAGAAAAGAACTTTGCATCGATTTAGCATCATGAAGCTACTTTGCTGCCAACAATAAGTTCAATTCTAGCTTTTCGTTCGAGTTTCAAAGTATAATTTCAGCTTTTCATGCTGTGAGACTTCTAAGTTCTTGGCTTCAATTCAGAGCAAGTTTAGTGCCGATGAAATGAGTATGTCATAGTAAGATTTTCAAAGATAGCATAGTGGCTTTTGGTTTTTCCCTTCGTTGTAGTTCAAATTGCTGCTCATATCAGATTACATGATCCAGTTTTTATCTTGCCGCATTCTATTCTTTATCAAAGAAGCCATAGCTGAAGAGACTAGATATATTTTGAGCACTCGATGATTATTTCTGTTTTAGGACTCATGCCGTGCCGTCCAATCGTGCTGTCTGGACCATCCGGAGGTGGCAAAAGCACGATTCTCAATAGGGCGATGAAAGAATACCCGAACAGTTTTGCATTCAGTGTCTCGCGTGAGTTGATGCTCTTCAATTTTTAACAGAATAAAACAATGTTTAGACATGATCTTCTTGCTTTTTAACTGGCAAGCGGTGTATCAGCATCAAAATATCCAACATTCATTCTCAATTCATAGAGACAAGTGCCTTTCAGATACGACACGCAAGCCTCGCCAAGGTGAAGAACATGGCGTACATTATTGGTTTGTAAATGCGGATGATATGCAGCGCATGATTGAAAACGGAGAATTCTTGGAGTATGCTACGTTTGGAGGGAATACTTACGGAACAAGGTGAGGAACCTACATTTGGTTTCAAAAATTTTGAAAATTTCATTGTCTTGATGACCTGATTTTTTGCGAGTTTATTCTTTCTCTTTTGTTTGTTTTCGTAAAAATGTACCTTATCTTACAATTTCAGCAAAAAGGCAGTCAAAGACGTGGAGAGCACGGGAAAAATCTGTGTGCTGGACATTGAGCTGCAAGGCGTACTCAATATTAAAAAATCGAATCTCAATGCTCGTTTCATACTCATCCGTCCACCGAGTCTGGAAATTCTGGTGAGGGATAACTTCGTTGACAAAGTTTTTTGTTATTAACTTACTAGAAAGTTTATTCTTCTAATGTTTATTTTTTTGTTTTAGAAAGTTCATATTGAGCAGGCTTTATCCTTTTTTGAACACAGGAAAAGCTCGTGGATTTGTGTTTTTTCGTTGATTTTTTCTTCTGTAGCCCTCCCTCAAAAAAGTCCGACCTCTATTCATGACCTTTTTACTTCAACTAAATTAAGTCATCTCATACATCTTGATAAAAGCAAAATTCAGCGGAGAGCGAGGCTATCCGTAGTGGCGGCTTATTTGTACTGATTTGTTAGACTGAGCTGAGATTAACTCATTAGAAGTTTTTCTAACTTTATTTCGTAGGAAAAACGTCTCCGTGATCGTGGTACCGAGAAGGAGGAAGACATCGAGAAACGACTAAAACATGCTAGAGAAGATCTGAAAGCTTGTAAGTAGAAAAGTTCTATTTTTTTTGCAAATTATTAGATTTTGTCTTTTAGCTGAACAAAACCCGGATCTGTTTGACCTGGTTATCGTCAATGACGACCTTGAAACTGCCTACAAACAGTTTATTGCTGCGATAGAGGACGATCTCATGTCGATCTCATCGGCTTAATGTGAGCAATGGGCGTGTCAGTCCCATGCTCCGCCTAGTCACCATTGAGCTTCACGAAGATAGAGCTGAATTGCAGGATTTTTATCTCAAACTTGTAGGAGATTTATCATTTCCAAATGATTATTTGTATTGGATAATCTGAGTAATGTCTCAACTAACGATCCGCTCACATATTTATATGACTCAATAAGAGATCTAGTTAAAGCAATTAATCAAGGGAAATTGTCCTCCGGTCAAAATTTTCTCGAAATGTGCAACGTTTTACTATTCAATGTTAGTAATGTGATTGCAAGTATGTATTACTGTACAACAGGAATGTACTGGATTCCCTAACAGTGATGAGTTCTCATATCAACTGGTATTTTATACGTCTATACTTTTTTGTGTTTTTTCATTCATATCTGTCCATGTTGTGTGATGATGGCGGAATGAAGCATTGATTTGTCTTGAGATTTGCAAACTCTAGCATTACTGAAGCATGCATTATGAGAATGCACTGAGCTTGACCTTGCTCTTGCATGTGTAATGACTATGGAGAAGGCAGAATTACTTCTTACACACTGCAAAAACATCACAGTTGAAAAACAACTAGGGATCAAGCCTGGCCATCTGGGGATAATCGCTTTTCCCGAGTTCAGATAGTGATCCCTCTCATCTAGAATTTTTTTAGAAATTAGTACGCTCTTTGCATTTGCCTAGAAAATAGCAAGGATCTGCGCTTTCACTAGAGTGATGCGGAGTCACACCTAAAATCTGGAAAAAGATTGAAATACTTCAATTGCTGAAGGTGTTTCTGACATTTTTTCTGACATTCATTAGAGTCCAAAAAATCCTAAAAAGTTATGCCATTTCAGTGAAGAATTATCATTCAAAGGACCATTTCCCCGTACTGAGTTCTAAGAACATTTACAGCAAGGTACACTCATTAACATACCAATCATCCAGGAGGAGGAGCTTACATCTATTTAGCCGAGTTGTTCTAGGCAATGAACAATTTACGTCCTGTTCAAAGCGAAGCAAACGAAATAGAAAAAGGAATGAAGAACGCAAATATCTGATTTTATCTGATTTGATTTACTAATTTTCTGCAGCACTAAACCATAATGCAATTATATTTATATCCAGGATTAATTAATTCATTTCTTCCACTCCTGAACTTTCTGAAAAAATAATGAGTCATGTCTTCTCCATACTTGGCTGAAGTGGAGAGCACGATATTTTTACAGGTAGACACAGGTGGATGGTGTGCAAGTACATGTTTTTACTTGTAAATACCCAAAATATCTGTTAGGATTCCTTAAAAAATTCAAAAGTTTTGTGAAAAAAAATTTCTAGGGGTGGAGTTACGCGGAAAGAGGTAAAGCATCCCCCTTCAAAAAAAAAAATCCCAGATCGCCTTGCGTTCATAGTTTGTGAAAAATATCCGCGACTGAAGGTTGCCTAAATTGCAACGCATAGCCGTATCTCGGGTTAGTGGATGAATTTTGAATTGGGCACTATTCAATTCAACTGGACCTAAGCTTCTTCTGAAGCATAGAAGTGCTCGTTTGGATACGGTAGGTCCAAGATAGGGGCGGGGCCCAGGAGTTCCCAAAGCCTCGCCGCCTTTCCTTGCAGGGGTACTTAGCACCCCCAAGGCGTCCTCGCACTTCTCAGACGGCTCCGCCCATTTGCTCCGCCCACTGGCTAATTTCATTGCGAGTTGTGCAGGTTCGGAGAATACTTCTCAAGTGTTATGGATGAATAATGAAGGATGGAAAACAGACTAGAGTTTATGAGATCTACCATTTGGAACATGTTGCCTTTACAATATACGAACGAGAAATTTACTACTGAGAGATCTTTTGACCATGATGCATTAGTGTGGGCATCACATTGTTCGACTTTCAGCCGATATAAGTGTACATATACGTTTGGTTGAAAGTATGTCTATTGAGCAAGTTGCAAGTGTCCCAAATGTCTGACGGACTTTCGACTTTTTCGATTTTTCGGTCAGTTTGATTTTTCTAGTTTTTGGTTACAACTTCTTATAGCTCAAATTTGATGCAAATAAAATACACATAGGATCACAGAATCTCTATAAAACTGAAAAAATATGACACTTAATGTCTATCTACTATACTTATTACATCGATGCAATAGTTTCGTCTAAATCAGAGGGAATCCGATAATTCACTAAAATCCAAACCTAGATTCATAGCTTGTTCAAGACGTGAGTTTTGCCCTTCAAGATAGTTACCCAAAATCAACTTTTCGTTGGCTATCCTCAAAGACAAAGAAACAGGCTTCTAAAGATTGCACTTCAAAGTTCGTAATTTTGAGTTTGGTATTGAATAGTATCAAAGTGCCGAAAGCATCCTCAAGAAATTTCTGGGATGGTCATAGCAATCTTCCGTACGTGGCAAACTTTGACCTATGGTAATGTGGAAACACAGAAACTGTGAAAAATATTCTTTTGCAGAAAATTACCTCCTTACCAAAAATATCACTCAGTGCTAACTTTGAGTCCTGTAAGGCCTTCTCGGGTACGTTAAAGGGTTCCTACTTATAAAATACAATAATAAGGGAATTTACCTTCCATGATTTTCCACGAATTTTTGCATTTGCATATCTATGCTATTCCCGCACTCCGCAGTCTCCGAAGGAGACCAATAAAGGACTAGAGCGATAGGCGGGGCTTGACCTCTGCGCGAAGGTGCGAGGAGCCTTCTGGAGTGTGAATGCTGGTGCGAATGGAGGTGCTAGGAACTCCTGCGTCCCCTCCTCAAGATAGGTGGTCATTTCTAGCAGCTGTTATTGCAGTTGCGCGTTCTAATCAGCACACTGAGTGACCCAAACTTTGCAACTAAAAATTTACCACCTAATGGCCCCAGACAGATCGGCAAACACCGGGAGAGCTCGTGATTATTAGGTTGGCTAAATAAGTTCGGGTTTGCGGCCTTAAACATGCTGCAGACAAAATTTTGTCCAGTGTTTGGTATCTCTAGAAAGAGCATTTCAATGGGAATTGGAGTACAAATTTTGCTTGAGCAGAACTTATCTTCAAAAGAAAAAAAAATCCGCAAAGAAGTGAGAAACTCGATTTTCTCATAGTGCGCAAATAAGTAGATGAAATTTGGCTTTCTTTGTTGAAAGATCATTGTTATTCATTAAATAGTGAAAACTCCCCTGTATCCAAAAACCAAACTGCTGTTCCCTACATCTATTACAGCATGAAAGCGAAGCTTAGGCTAAGTCAAAGAATTGAGTTTTTTTGCCATGTTGAGGCGTAATTGTCTTTTGATGATAGAAAATCCTGATAATTTGGTATGTGATAAGGAAATTTGAGCTACTTTCCCACAGAGTACCATGAATTGAAAACAACAAGAAAAAATTTATATCTTCATGCCAAAACCAACTAATTTTTTAGTCAACCTAATATTCGAAAGCTATGAGCGGCATTGTATTCTGTCAGATAAAAGAGTACAACATCAAAAATATCGACCCCGTACGAACTTGCTCGTAGCAAATTAGATAAGAGTTGTTCTGATGTGTTATGTAGTCCTTTTACTAATTAACTGGAGCCACTACAATGTAGTCATGTGTCTCGCCTAATCGTTAACTGATACCGATCATGATTGCTGTCCATATGTGTAGACCATAGCACACTACTTCCTATAGCTTTGTACTGTTCTTCTTAATCATAAAAATGCAATTTTATTGCCAAGAAGAAAAAAGTAATGCTTAAATCATCAAGACAAATGATTCTCCTCAAAATCTCAGTTATAGTGTTCGTGCTTTATCAGGTAGTCGGTAATGACGTTCCATTTATAAGAAACTGTTTTGAACTGATTAAGCCTTCTCTGCCTTGCTACTCAATTTACCAGACTTGCATATCTTGAAGCATTCTTTCATTTGAACTTCAGAATGCGCTACAACATCCTGTTATTTTCGATATAGCCAATATTTTCAAAAGTTTTTGATATCTGCATAATCTGTACAGCCCACCTATGTACGCCTGAAAAATCGAGAATTTTTGGTTTTTTTTTTGATAGGCATAGTGACTTGCAGCTATTGAAAGTTGTTTACGCAGATTATGAGATTGACATAGTAGAATTTTGCTCTGAAGCAGCTCTTCACGGAAATCAATATGACTCTTATTGTTGGGGACCTTTCATTCTTTGAGATGGTTTTCACATTTCCCCTGATGCAATATTATCATACCACCTTTTTCAGAGCAGTCAATCTAAAATTTAGGGCAGATAAAAATTTTGTTTGTCATTCTAAGTCTATATTAAAGTAACATGTGATTGATATTTATTTTATTTTTTACATTATTATTGTTTGAGATAATAAATGATAATACGAAATACAACTGAATATTCGTTTCAATCCAATGATTTCAGCTAAATTTCGTCCAAAATGTATTAGGTTGGTCCGAAAGTTCTGTCCCACCATGTTCAAAAAATCATAACTTCCTTCTAACATGATGATTTTGCATGGCTAAAACCTTATTGAAAAGAACAAATCATGCGCTTTCTAGAAACGTCTTGACTGCTGTCTACTAAGCTCGCAGTGCAGACATAAAATTGGAAAAATGAAATCACTTCAATTTCGGAATTTTTAAGCAAACCCGTTAAATAAAACTGTGCCATAAGATCCAAGACAGCCAGTAACCTGGGTTTTCTGATCTCCTCTTTCCAGCTGAGCAAGATTTGCGCTGATCGAGCCCTTTTGAAAGAAGTTATGATTTTCAAGAAAAAATGCCAAAAAATCAGTTTCTTAAGAAAATTGATTTTTTGACATGTTTTTCAAAACATCATAACTTTTCGGAAAACAGCTAGATCAGCGCTAACTTTGTTCAGCTAGAAAGAGGGGCTCAAAAAGTCTGGCTGTCTATCTTGGATGGCTGTCTTGGATTTTATGGCACAGTTTTAGATTTTTTAACGGGCTTGCTTAAAAATTCCGAACTTGAAGTGATTTCCTTTTCCCAATTTTATCTCTGCATTCAAAGCTTAGCAGATAGCAGCCAAGAAGTTTTGGAAAGTGCATGAATTGCTCTTTTCAATATGGTTTCAGCTATGCAAAAGCATCGTGTTAAGAAGAAGTTATGATTTTTTGAAAATGGTGGGACAGAACTTTCGGACCAACCTAATATATATCATCTCCATTTCAGATTTCAATAATCAATAATTTTATTTTTTCTTCAGGAATGTACATTTTGGAATCTCCGCCCCCCCCCCTCCCCTCCCCCCGCATGTAACAACATGCGATTGAAGCAATATAGATTGATCCGCAAAATATTGAGGGTTCTGAATAAGGAGATCATCTTCCAAGTGTATTCGTTGACCTCTTCAAAAAGGATCTGAAATACTGTGTTCTGTCTATGCTTGTACTCAACTACGTCAGACAAAATGATAACAAGGCTTTGCGTCGGGTGCGTTATCAGTGAAAGTTCCGCTTGACTGGGTCGGTCCGTCTATCATTGTACGGCATGTGATAAGGTAGTCACTTGCAGAATTTTTTGGATCTTTTTTACCCGATTTTTGTTTGCTGCTTGAAATCAAGAGCGCAGGGAAAAGTATCCCGAAATAAGTTTCGCTCCATTCCTTGGATAATTATGCAAATATTGTATTGTTCCTGCGAGAAAAATGTACTCTGCATTAGATTCTGCTATATTCTTTGACCAGTTGACCAACTTTTGTGTCCATAATTCCTTTGCTTTTTTGGAAGTGAGATGAGAAAGCTATTCAATGCACATCAAAAAGGCCGGGCATACTTCACGCGATTTCACTCGCGACGCGATTTGGCAATATTCCAACCGTCCATAACTCACTGTAAGCACTTTTAAATGTACAGAGAATAGAGCATTTTATCACTCCACGTAAGTTGAACACACTTGCATGTGCATTTTGCTAGTGCTGGATCTGAAGACTTCTGGCGCATTGCCAAATCGCGTCGCAACTGAAATCGCGTGAAGTACGCCTATATGAGGTCAGATGTATATATGAAGTGAACAATTTGAAAGATACTATACAGCAGTACGAGGAAAATATCATTTCAACCCAAAAATATATTCGTTCTATGAGAAACTACAAAAAACCTGAACACGCGACTATTTCCTTTTGTCTTTTTGAATGCAAAGTGATGAAATCGGAAAATACTGAATTCAATAATGTATAATTTGAGACGGAAGAGCATGATATACATTATTACATCTTTGTTTATACAAATTACTGTCAAACTTACTTCCTAATTTATGAATTTTTATGCTGCAACCGATGTGACCGGCTTGACAGACATTCCGAGCAACCTCGATTTTTTAACGCAACAACATCGTCCTTCAAAAATTCTTTGTAAAAGCTGTCCTCAGGATTTGTTTGCGACCCTTTAGATCGTCTAAACTTCTCGCGCCATTCTTTCATGGGTTCTTCAACTAGATAATTGAGAATTGCATGTCAGTGATTATGTTCGTAAGTAACTTCAAGTACCAAGTGCGCTGATTAGCAGACTGATTAACAGACAAAAAATTCAGTTATCTTATCTTTTGGTTCGGGAAGTGATATCGATAGTTTACGATTTACCAACTTGCTTTCTCCTTAATTTTTATTTCGTAAGCTCTGAGATGTTAATTTATGCGTACAAGTATTTTTTATATCTCGCTTAAGGCTGCTTTTGACTTTTGTGAGAATTTATTACCTCATTCTGGTTTTTTTAGATGTCTCTAAACAAACTGCTCAGTCCAAATGACCATCCAGACTTGGCGGAAGAACGTCGAAGAGCAACGTTCAACACAGATGAGATGTCTGCAATCATCTGGGAAAATAAACAGGTATAAAATTATCATCTGCAAAAATGTATAAAGTTAGTAAAAATCATATCTCACTGATAAGTTCGAAAAAAATGTTCAAAGATATCTGAAAATTGAATTGCTGTGTTACTTCTCAAGAGGCGGCCCACAAGGTGAAAAATTTGACTTCATCTCGCCCAGTACCGTACTCTTTCTGAGCGAGCCAATTAGAGAATCCAAGTAATGGGCTAGATCAGAGCTGAATTTCTGCTACAAATATATCATATGAGCTGCTGTTTGGGTAATGTTTTTGAGGTCTTTTGATCACTAGCCCAATTTCGTCTAATAAGGAGTGTGTTTGAATGCATAGCTCAGAATTCTAAAATCTTAGAACTGGCTTCGCCGTCGCGAAATTAGCAAGATCGTCGCCGAGCATCCAGAACTACACGATCCTTGCAGTCAAGCTTACATGACCAGAGCCGAGGAGGTCGAGAATGCAGCTAGAAAAGTAAGCAAATAAATTTTTTGAGCACTTGAAAATGGAAGAATTATTTTAGGCAACCACTATGATCAGAAAGTTAGGCGAGCTGGGCATAAGCCCGTTTGAAGGAGAGGACATCTTTCACTTGACAAAGTCCGATTTTTGCTGATTGCGCTATATTTGAGTACTAAATATAAAGTTTTCAGCGAAGTCATTGGCATCAGAGGTCATCCCCTAGCTATTCATGCTGTGATGTTCATACCTTCCTTGCAAGCTCATTGCTCAGACGAGCAAATGCATTTTCTTGAAATGGCAATGTCGATGCAAATTATTGGAACCTATGCCCAAACTGAGCTGGGTCACGGTAAGATCATTTTCGCTTTTCATGCATATTTTCAGTTAACCAAATAATTTTAGGCACAAACCTCCAAAAACTCGAAACTACGGCTACATACGATGCAAAGACGCAAGAATTTGTTCTACATAGCCCAACGACCACATCAATGAAATGGTAAAAAAAGTTTTTTTTAAGAATTTGCACGAAATTCCCTTTCTAGGTGGCCCGGCAATTTAGGACTAAGTGCTAATTACGCTATAGTGGTTGCCATCCTCATGATTGACGGCAAAAATTACGGACCACATCATTTTGTGGCGCAGCTACGAGATCTGAAAACACACATGCCTTTGAAGGGTCAGTTCAATTTTTTTTTGAGGTCCATGCTACAGCAGCGGCGAACCAAAAGACAGAGAAGGGGGAGGGGCTCCGAGAATAGGTCACGAAGTTTTGAGTCCTACATGAGTCACAAAATTGCTGTAGATACTTGTTTTTACACGTAAATAATATTTTTTGGAATTTTCAAGAACTCACTAGCACTGTGAAAAATTTTCGTGTAGCTGTGGCCACGCCCTTCCATTTCAAAAAAAACCTTGTCGCCGCGAGAAAAATGTGGGATCGCTATTGCTGTACCGTAATACTACAGTCTGACTATACGTAGAAAAGACAATATAATCTGTTTACTTTCATTGGCTATTGCGCAGGAATATGTCTGGTAATCCTATGTTAAGACGAATCTAACCATATAAATGCAAAAATTGCTTCTCAACAATTATTGGTAGAACACTATAGGAGTGACTGTTGGCGATATTGGACCAAAAATGGCGTATGACAGCTCCGACAACGGATTTTTGCGGCTTGATCATTACCGTATACCTCGCTTGAATATGCTCATGAAACACAGCAGGGTAAGCACTTTTCCTTCTCAGACTCAACGAGGCCTCGAATTTTGTTCAGGTAGCCCCCGACGGCACCTATACCCGTCCCCCGCATGCCAAAATGAGCTACTCGGCCATGGTCCATGTCAGATCACACATGGTCCGACATCAAGCGATGTTCTCTGCTTATGCGATGACAACCGCAATTCGTTATTCAGCTATACGACGTCAAGGAGAGATTACGCCAGGGTGAGCTCATCTGACGAAAAAAATCTTTTACCCTAAGACATCAAATTTTAGCGCTGGTGAAGTGAAAATTCTGGATTATCAGACACAGCAATATCGTTTGTTACCGCAATTGGCTCGTACCTTCGCTTTTCTGTTTACCGGACAAGCAGTGAAGAATATTTACATGAGAGTACAGAAGGATATGGCCAAGGGAAAGGTAAGAAGTTCTAGATCAGTTATACGGTATTTGAGTTTCTTGTGGAGTTATTTTGCTCTTTTGTAAATTTAATGAAATGAGAAGCCTGAAATGCACTTTGCAAACTCCAAAAAATCGAGTGCGAGTGTTCTATTTATAATGAAACCTCATGGTTTTCTCCTCTTATTTCTCACACTTCCCCGCTTGTAGGCAAAAAAAAACTTGACAGAAAATTTTTTATTCAAGGTGGATGAGATGGCAGAGTTGCACTATGTCACGTCAGGTTTGAAAGCAACCGTAACCCATTTATCTGGCGAGATAATCGAGCAGTCGAGAATGAGCTGTGGAGGACACGGATACTCGAAAGCTACTAATTTTTCGGAAATATATGGTAAGTTTTACTGAACGAGGTCGAAAATCAATATTCAGCGATTATCACGAACATAAATCACGAAATATGTAACAAGAGTTTGTTTATACTTGTAAATGAAAATATTGTTGAAAATTTTGAAAATTGAATTAGCTTTCCATTTTTTCGGGGCGTGGCTGCCGCTACGTTCTTTTTTCTCGGAATTCCGAGGGTATGGGCCCAGAATTTGGGAAGCATCAAAAAAATTTTCGTAATGTGTTCAGTCTCCCCACCCCCCCCCCCCCTCCCCCGAACGGAAATCCAGGGTACGCCACTGGTAACTTTGTAACTTGAATAGAGGACGGCTGAGGATAGATGTAGTAAAATATAGTAAAAAAAAGTAAGATAACTTTTTTTTTCATTGGCATCTGCTAGAATAAGAATAATAAGACAAACTTGCAACTAAGAGTACGCGGAAGAATCTTTTCAATTGATAGTTGAAATAAAATTTTTACAAGTTCGCAAGACGAACAGTGTTTACTACAAATAATTATCATTCAAATTTTCGTCTATTTTGTCTCATATTTAGGTGTTGCCATCGCTGGCTGTACCTATGAAGGCGAGAATATGGTAATGCTTCAGCAATTGGCTAGGTAATCATTTTAAACTCCTTTTCTTTTTCCGTAGTCCTTGAAAAGGTTCATATCATGTTTAGATATCTCATGAGGGCTGCACAGGCGGCTACAACTGGACACAGTCTGTCCTCTTTGACAGATTATCTAGTGAAACCGTGCGAAAAGCATTCACTAATTGACAAACACCCAGATAAAAGTAAGATTTCACTCTGAACAAACTAAATGATTTTTGAACGAAGTAGAGCTGGTTTAGCTTACTCCCATCACATTTCGGCTTTCGAATGGGCTGCAAGACGTCAAATAATCAAAGCCTACGAAAGGCTAGTGTCACTAAAGAATCAAGGCCTTTCCAATGAAGAAGCATGGAACCAAAATGCTGTCGAACTGAACAGGGTGAGCTATCCCTTTGACAGTAAAGTAACTTCTGAAGAAAAATAGGGTTTGCATGGGGTTGATAATCGAGCAAAGCATTTGAAATACAAGTGACTGGTTCAAGCGAATTATAGTCTAAGTTGGAAGATCGGTTGATTTGAGCACTGTATCAACAATAAGCTTTTCTGCTATCTATCGGTGGTTCCGCGAGAATTTTTTTTCAGACAGCAAGAACTTTTCTCAAATGAGAAGGTGTGGTGTTGACCACGCCTTCCGAAAAAAATTTCTTGGGACAACTTTTCGAAATTTTTTGGGGCTTATGACCCTAAAACCTAGAAAAGAGGGAATCTGGGGGCAGCTATCCCAAAAATGCTCCACTAGTGTAAGCTGATTGAATAATTTCAAAAATTATTTTAAACATCTGTAATTCAAAACAAGGCACTTGCACAATCTCAGGCAGTCGAAGGGATACCTCCGGCGGGCAAATGGCGCGAGTCTGCCACTTCGCGCTCTGAAGCGCTTCGGAGCCCTGCCATTTCACCCATTTTGGTGCTCCGGGGCTCTCCCAAATCTGGCGCATTTCCGGAGCAGAGATTTGCGCGTCCCGGAGAAGGGTCCCATTCGTTCACCGCGTCACAAGCAGGCGAGTGGGACCCCTCTCCGGGACGCGCAAATCTCTGCTCCGGAGGTGCGCCAGATTTGGGAGAGCCCCGGAGCACCAAAATAGGTGAAATGGCAGGGCTCCGGAGCGCTTCAAAGCACGAAGTGGCAGACTCGAGCCATTTGCCCGCCGGAGGTATTCCTTCCACTGTCTGGGATTTTATAACTCTTGTAGATGACTTTCAAAAATTTCGCGATCATTATCCGAGGGGGGGGGGGGGAGGCGAAGCCGCCGCCGATGGGGCGGGAGCAAGTTCTCGAAGCCACTTCCAAGAAAAATCGAATTACCTGTTTATGTGAATATTAGTTTCGATAGACCATTGCTCAAACGGCAGAGTGTATCAATCATTCGTGCCGAGCAGTTTTTGTCATATTTTTGCCTAGTACAATAATCGTCAATGCTGATTGGTTCGTTCGGAAAAAGCTTTGGGACCCCTTTACTGCTCGTCCTCCGATTATTACTGGTTATAGAGCTTTCTCAAATTAAGCTCGGAAGTATGCACGGGGAAGTCGATCCGGCCCTAAAAAATTTTAAAATTTTTCTTTTCTATATGTAGCTTTCTTGTAGCCTATGGGTGAGGAAAAAGTAAAGTGAGATAGATAACAAAAATCCAAGAATTCGCGGTAAGGCGAGCAACTTTGTCAATGTCAACTCGTGACGATAAAGAATACGATTTCCTTGCATCTGTGCTAAATCTATCAGATCTTTCCGACTTCTTATGATTATTTAGGCATCTCGGCTTCACACTCGACTGTACATCGCGCAGAAATTCTATGATAAAGTTCAGACAATAGTGGACGGCCCATGTAGAGCCGTATTGGAAGACCTGCTTCACCTTCATCTCAACTATGAACTTATCGATATGGCTTACTACTTACTTGAAGTAAGTTTTTACCCATTTCTTCCCTGCAAAATATCAACGCCGGCTTACAGGATAATTATTTGACTGGTCAACAGTTGAATCACCTGAAAGAAGATATGTATCGATTACTTCAAAAATTACGCCCCAATGCTGTATCGTTAGTGGATGCATGGGACTACTCAGATCATGAACTTCGATCGGTAAGTAAAAGCCTAGCATCTAAAGGTTTCAATAAAAATCTTTAAGGTTCTTGGACGAAGAGATGGGCACGTCTATGAAAATCTGTATAAATGGGCACAAGCTAGCGAACTAAATAGGACACAAGTAAGAAGGTCTCGTCAGGTCTGGGAACCCTTATCAAATGCTGGTTTTAGGTCCCGCCATCATTTGAGAAATATTTGAAACCAATGATGGAAGAAGCCAGAAAAATGAGTAAACTATAAATGTGCTATAAATTGTAATTTCCCAACAATGGAAATAAATATATAAAAGCTCCTGCACATTTTTTTACTATTTCTGTTGACAGTCTTTTCATTTTCAAAACTCATAAGAGCACTTCATGGTGGGACCATGTCTGCTGACTACTCGTTCTCTTTGATCTCTAGCTTTAAAGTGTCAGCGATCGGGTATGTAGCGCAAGCACCGAGGAAAGCAAGTTTGCTCAGGATACAGTGTATTCGAACAGTTCACGAAGAGTTCCGAATAGGATAGCTTCAACCTTGATACGCGTCGCAGTGCGAATGCGTGCGTTGCGTGCGCGCTGAGGCTCCCGCCAGAGTGCCGAAGTTATGCCAGCGCTACGCCAGCATTTCGATCGATACACGTGTATTTCGTTGGGGACGTCAGCTAGCCCCGCCCCAACGTCAGCTAGCCCCGCCCCAACGAAATACACGTGTATCGATCGAAATGCTGGCGTAGCGCTGACATAACCTCGGCACTCTGGCGGGAGCCTGAGGAAGAATCAGTGCAGCGCCTCTTGAACACACACTGAACCTAGCACAACACTTCCTACTTTCTTCTCCAAAAATACGGTAGGATATCGTGGACGTCGAGCTCACAACAGATTCTCAAAAAAAGACAGCCACAAAAACAAATAACAAATTAAAATGCTTTATTATGACAGAAATTTGGTCACTGAAATTTCCAACATAATTAATTGCCTATTGCAAACACTTCATAGGCTTCGAATACAAGCAATCCAAAAGCTAGCAAAATCTCGCAAATGCATGACAAAGCCCAAAAGAACCGGATAAGGCCATCGTATAGTTCAACATTCGTGTATAGCATGATGCTCAGAACAGTTGGCGTGAAGAGTGCTGAAAAGAATTCAGCATTTACTCATCTTTCGCAGCGCACCGCCGCGAGGTTGCGCAGCGGCTGCGTAGCGGTTATGCGCGAAATTTGGAAGCGCTTTTTGCTGGGCTTACCTATCGAATACTGCAATTTCACCGTATATTCCGGTTCTCTTATCAACTGACGCAAATCAAATCGTCCATCAATATTGTAGTACCTAGAAATGTGAGTCCTACTTACGCCATCCAGGCATATTATGCAAATGCAGACACGTCTTACCATCGCCTCAAAATATGCATAGTGTACATCGCACATAAAATGTTATAAATAACGAAGTAGATCATATTTACACTTCCAGATTCACAGTAGATCATGATAATCTTTTTTTTGTAATGTGTGTCGATTCTGTGAAATGGAAATCAAACTTACTTGGGATACGCAGCACAAAAATTGTACTCCTCGTATTATACCAACAATATACGGGAAATCGTAGTCGTGATAGAATCTCGTAGACTTTTTCTAGAACAAGTTCTTCAAAAAATGTGAGTTGCAGCACGAGGGAGTAGATTACCCCCATGTTTCCTAACAGAGGCTGCAGATGATGAAGTAGAAATGATTCGTACCCAAATAGATTTGGTTTGCTTATTATTTTTGTTTGTGGCTAATGAGAAGACTTGAAAATGGGGAGAAGTTCATTTAATCTATAGTCTTCTTGCCGAACGCTTTGCGACAAATGGTTGGTACCTTTTGTGGGCTACCCATGAGAAGATGGTCAACGGCCCTTCCCGTTCATCCGTTGTTGGCCTTGTACCGGTTGCCAAAACTCGGTCGCACTGGTCAAGAGGCTGTGAAGTTTAGGCTTCACCATAGCGCAAGTATAAGACCCACTGAACTTCATGTGCGCGGTAGCCGCGTTCGGCTGATGCGCAGACGTCGCATTGCGCCTGCCGCTCGTTTAATTACCCATCTCAGCCATCCTACCGGTCTCCTCTCCAGTTAAAGTCCGTCACATTATTTTTAGCTTCAAAACAGACGTCTCGAAAGAGCGGCGCCTATGTGTTGCGGAATTTCTGCTGAGGATTATACAGCTTGTCGGTCAGAAATGTGCCAGATTTGGCTTAGCGCGGGGTAGAGGAACGAACGCCTTTATTAGGCATCGCCTTGTGGGCTGCTGGTCCTTTCTTCCTACTGTTGTGCATCGTGTTGGGACCAGTGGTCCGCGGCGGTGCCGACGGTCTGCCCCAATCCTAACCAGGCCAAGCGAGAGTGCGCGTCGCGAGGGTTTCGCGCCACTTCTGCGTCTAGCTAGTCTGCTCTCTCCTCAATCTCTTCGCTCTCTGCGACAGCGCGCGTATGCAGCGCAAACCCCTAGCGCTGCGAGCGCGCAAATTCAGCCGACTGTTCGGCCTGATCCCGATTGGGGCAGACTGTAAGTGAGGTGTCGTTCCTCTACCCCTTAGCGCGCTCTGTATAGAAGTCCGCGCCCTAAAAAGGCGTTTCATCGCTGTCGTGGTGGGACCACCTTATTGGATTTCCACCAATATAAGCTCCTGCAAGACGAAGGCGGTCGGTTCAATGTGCAACGCGGCTGCGACATGGCTGCGTCACAGCAGCGTCACAGCCGCGTCACAGCCACGTCGCGCCTCTTACCAACCGCCTTCGTCTTGCAGGAGCTTATAGTACATGTTCTGTTCGTTTATGCTCTCTATCCATTCCTTTCCAATAGCTTGCAAAATGCCAGTGCTGTGCGCTCGTTCATGCAACGCAACCGTTTGTGTTGCGGTTGCGCGTCGTCATGCCACTGACTTATTTGTGGGGAACAGAGTATGTCTGACTATCTTCTCATGAAATGATGCGGAGTCATCACTGAAGTTCGTCTCAGCCTTCTTTGGAAACGTTTTTAGAGCTCATACAATTTTCCTCTACTCGTGAATCAATGTAGAACGGTCCAACTTTGCTGCCTTGTACTCCAAGTGAGTTTGTACACCCGTACTCCGAATGCTCTTACAAATGGATCATATTTAGGTGATTCTGACCTACATCAATGTCGAATATATGGGAATGATGACATTCATTTTCACCATGGCATTATGTCTTTACAATTTGTATGTTACTGGGAGGAGAATGTGAGTTGGTAATTTTTGAAGAACCTTTTTGACAAGAGGGGTTTAGGTACAATAATATTGATGGACGTTTCGATTTGCGCCAGATGATAAGAGAAAGCGACAATCAATTGAGGCTTCTATACGCTTCTGGTTAGTTATTCTGCGTTCATAACTAGTAAAATTTCATCTACAAAACACACATTTGTTGCAGAAGTCTTCACTCCATCGGTTCTCGGCATTCTCGTGTTTCTTATCGTGCGGCTCCCAGGTGGAATGGGAAGATTTATATGGACGTTAGCATGCCTTGGGCAGATAGGAGCAGCTTTGCTACTTCTTGCAGTTGAAATTCAAGAAGTTGTCATCAACGGGTATTAGTGCGCTCAATAAAGTTCTTATGTTACGTTGTGCCATGTAGAAGTGCGGTATCGTTATTCCGTCATATTATTATGAAGTTCCTTGACAGAATGACGTGATGCCATGAATAGGTACAAACAAGTTGGCGCACGCAGAGACTGGTCGCATTTGCGTTTGTTTGGACAGTGGTGTTTGGTCAAGAAGCCTCTATATTAGACTGTATCGTAATTCTCAGTAACGCCGGCGCATACGCCACTGGAGCTTTGCTGCATTTGGTTCTCTTTCTCCGAAACATCCAATTTTTGCGCTTTTGTGTCACCAAAGCGCCAAAGGCAGCGAATGACCTGCATCAGATAGAGGCTGTGTCAATCTTGGATCCTCTTTCTCACGGGATCTCCTCGCCAAAGCCATATGACCGCGCCACCATGATCGCGGGCGTATGGCTTGAGCAGACTGGCTTCATCGATAGCTTGCCGCGACGCACCTTCGCGCTGCGATTATGTCACGATAAGCTATCAATACCCTGCAAAAAGCGAGTTCCCATTGAAGGCAGCGTCCAGACAAATCTAGACATACGTCTGATGTGGAAAGTAATTTTGGGGCCCTAACTAAGACACTGCCCAAGCGGCTGCTCAAATGGTGAACTCAGGTAGGTGCCAGAGTAAGCGAATATTTTGTTCAGGTTGGGGGGGGGGGAGGGGCAGAATGGACGTCACTCACCATGCTGGCGTCAATCCAAGTGACGTCAATTCTGCGGGACCCCAACCTGAACAAAATATTCGCTTACTCTGGCACCTACCTCACAGTTAAGATATTCGCCTCCAAACTGGACCTTGGGGTCGTATTCGCATGGATTCATAGCGCGACATCCGTGAATCCTCGCACGAAACTGATGTGTCGCGCCATGAGTCCATGCGAATGCGATCCCGAGGTCCAGTTTGGAGGCGATTATCTCAACTCTGAGCTCAGCATTTGAGCTGCCGCTTGGGCAGTGTCTTAGGACTCCAACATCACCCTCCAAGTGAGATACCCTTAGGTTCAGATTTACCTGGACGCTGTCTTTAACACGGACTGTCTATAGAACCCTGGGGCAAGTACTGTTTCTCCGTTTTTTACTGGTAATCTTTTTACATTTGCTCATCGTGCCTTCTGTATCTCTTACGAGAAGGCAGGCAATTTTGCATAGCACATAGGCAGGCTAGACTTGGACGTAAATGGTGTGCATGAAATTTAAATGTCCTAAACATCTCGTAAGCTCCTTCGCTAATTTCCATGCTCGGTGACAGTCATAGAAAAAAGATGTCTGATTACTGCTGATAAAATAGCCTGAGCTTGAAGAGCGAAGTACATAACTCTGCCTTTGCTGGCCAGTTATGATTTGAGATCTACGAAGTTTAGTGATTCAAACCTTTATTTGACAGGGTAATTATAAATATAGCATGGATTTTCATAAAATCACAAAATCAAGCAACGTTATTCTACAAATCAGCATCATTATGCATCACAGGAATAGAAATCACAAATGGTCAAAAATCAAAATCACAGTTACGTTCTCCAAATATTAATGTTCCTCCTCTTTTTCGGCGAAATGTGCTCGCTTTGGACCGCTTTCGTTTCTTCTCTCCACCAAAGGTCTTCTTATATTTCTCTTCGGCGGCATCATGTTTCTGAAAACACTATGGATGAAAGTATAACCCTAACTCAGCAAATATAGCTTACTCACCCAATATCCGCGGTTTCCCGATTTTCGGCTATATGATGAGTAGTGGGAAGGTTACGAAGTCCTGAAACATTGTAATTAACAAAAAGCTCATGTTTTGAGCAGCGGCGATCCCAGATGTCCGTTCGGGAGGGGTGGGGGGGGGGGGGAGGGACAAAATCTTTGGATAAAGGAGCGCGGCGTCAGCCACGCACCCCAAGGCCTTTTTTTGAGATGCTTTCCAGAATTTTTGCGCGCTTATAACCCGCAAGTTTTTCATAAGGATAATAGGAATTTCCAAAAGGTTTTGAAAATTATTCAAATTTTTCACAAGTACAAACAAGTCACTCGCATATTTTTATAACCCATTTAAGTTACTTCCAAAATTTCGCGACCCATTCTAGTGGGGCGGGGGGGGGGGGGGAGGCTTCGCGTGCAATATCGTCTATAGATGTACGGCATAATTGTTTACAGCTATCATTCATCTTGGCCCTTACCGCCGTAGGAAATCACTTCATAGTTGAGATTAAAACACTGTAAATACAAAGGTAGCCCACCCCCCTTCCCGGTTCAAGAGTTCAGCTAGGTGCTGCATTTCAAAAAACAACATAAAACAACAGAATACCACACATAGATAAGAACAAAACCTTACTTTGCTTGAGAGGTCTTTCCTGCATAGTATTTGCGGCACGGGCATCACGTAGTTCTATCTCCATGTTCTTGAAAGAATACCGAATTTGTTGCATAGATGTTTGTGTAAATGTCTATGAACCTTCAAAAGTTTCTCCAAGTCGCTTTCCTTTTTCTTTGACGCTCTAAGCTGTTCCCGCTCGGCACGCAGTTCTTCTCTTAATCTTCTTTGGATACTTTTTGCTTCCTCTAACTGCCTGTAATGGATACTGATTTCACTTTGCGTAAGTGAGGCATGCCTTACACTAACCTTTTCTGTATATTGATGAACTGTCCCATTCTAAGTGAGCCATCGTCTCCCAGAAGGGTATCCAAAGCAGTCTCACTACCCATGGATGTGACGATCTTGTAACTAAATTGTTGTCCAACGATGTTTTCGATTTTCTAAGCTTCTCAAATGCAAAAAAAAACCTACAGTTCACATGCTTTCAGGCGCTTTGTGCTTTTCTCAAGTGATCGTTCTAAGATTTCAATTCGTGCTTTCAAGGAAAGATTCTCATCCAGAAGTTCATCATACTCACGGCGTTTCACTGCTAACTGAAAATAGACAGTGAAGGAAAAATTAATAAGTAATTAGAACAGCTAATACCGTGGTTTCGCAATGTCGAAGTTCGTTTTGCGCACGTAAGAGAGCTCTATTTTTTTCACGTAGTTCGCCTTGTGCTTGTAAGAGAGCTCTATTTTTTTCACCAAGTGCTATCAAAAGTTCATCTGCTCGAGATCCAGGACTAGCGATGGATAGCGTTGTATCGTCGAAATCGTCCGGAGCATCGAAGAAAAGATGACGTACTATCTCACCACTAGTAGTGAAGGCTCTGCAGTTTGGGCAGGTTAGCGAACGCTGAAAGCCAGATATATTACACTTATTTTTTTACTGTGTATTTCACTTTTTCAAATCAAAGCTTTTAAAATGATAATATTGCTCACCTCAAACCATTTTTGGATGCAGTCATAATGAAAAACATGACCGCAATGCAAGGCAGCAATATTATTTGTGACAAATCTTTGCGTGCAGATCACACATTTTCCTCGAATTTGGAACATGACTTTTCCTGAAGGTAAGCGTAGAAACTCACTCTACTGAATATTTTATTACATTACACAGTCATTTCGTTTCAAATACATTAATTCATTGGAAGAAAAACTTAGATACAAAATGTTTGAAGTTGAGTGGCATAGCCAAGTAGCACTCAGTCGTCACAGAGCACTGTTGAAAACATCAAATGCAATCTGCTGTCGTCCTAGTTTGACAATTTCCCGCCATTACATTTTTGATCTCTTCTAGGCTTAACGAAATTTTGGTCTCTGCTAGACTCGCAAACTTTACAAAATTGAGACAGCTACTTCGTCTATGTAGTACCAGGTAGTCTATAACCGTTCAAAAATTTTTATATTATCAGAAGATTCATTGTGAATGGGCATAGCATTGATTCTCGATGCACCAATGTACGTTCTATCTCGGTTATGTAATCTCAGTTTATTTCTTCCTTATATTCTCATTTTTGGTTGTATCTAGTTCCATTCGATATACGCAGTTTTATCAAGGATTGTTGTAATGAAGTTTCCATGTCTCTTTCTTTCTGACTGACCACTTCTTCCATTGCAGAGCATTGGTTGCGATCATGTTGTCCCGATGCACATCTTGGATTCACTTCCTCTCTCCATGTGATATTTCGTCCGTAATAAGTTAGGATGACAATGGCGAGTTATTGTGGTTAGTTTGGTTAGCGCTCAATTGTGCGTTACATGTTTTACGTTTTCTGTCTCCCTCAAGATTTTTCCTTTTTTATGCTTGTAATATCTGTTAATCATGAGTAGCCAATGACTGAAGCAAGGACTTTTTTTGACGAAAGTGCTTTCGTGAAATCGACCGCCTTTTTACCGAAACTTTTGCTCACTTTGACCTTCCTTAACCTCTGCGTAAGATCTGCTGTGAAGATGTATTCTTGGTATTCAGTCTAAGGCAGGGTTCATACTGAGCCGCACAAAGCGGCACAGTTCCAGCACAGCGCTCGAATTGTGCGCTGTGCTGGAACTGTGCCGCTTTGTGCGGCTCAGTATGAACCCTCCTTAACGCACATAACATAGGATGTGTGACAATGACTACTTTGATAAAGATTAGTTGAAATTCAGCCAGCCTTGGGTCTTTTTTCTTAAAGACAGTAGTTGGGCACAACGGGTGCGGGAATTTATCTACCCAGAGAGGCATGCCGCCATGTAATTAGCAGGGGCATGAGAGGTCATGAACTGTCAGCAACGCTAATTTCACCGAATTTGCACCGAATACAAGCAGATTTTGCTCACAACAGGTACGACCTACAGTGTACGAAACCGTGATTTCATTGAAATTTGAATTCAAAGTTCAGTAGTGAAATTAGTCCAACTAGGGTTAAAATTTGTATTTAGTGGTAATCTGCCTTGCTGGTCCCAAATACGATGGTGGTTTTACGTGAAAACTCAAAATTTTTTTCTTTTTGTATTTTAACCTTGTTTTCAAAATCTTGCAAAAAGCTTAAAATTGTCATTTGAGGCTTTTCCATGATGCTGTTTTCGAATATGCTAATGTTTTCGTCGGAAACATTGAAAACTTTTCCTTCTGAAATTTTGGCTTTTTCATGAATTTCACCGCATTTTTGATAAAACTGGAAAACAAATAAAAAAGAATGATACTTTCAGAAGGACTAGAAAAATGATGTAAACGCGAAATAAAATTGGAAATAAGGTAAGAAAAAATTCAGTGAAGCTGATGCTAAGTTTGGGGGATTGGAGAAGATTCCCAGCTATCATTAAAATCTGTGTGTTATTAAATTATTCTGGACACTACAATTAGTTTCCTTAATGAGCAGCTGAATTATCACTTAATTCTTGAAAAATGATAAAACATTTGCTTTTACCATATTCTAAAGAGCGCCCTTAGAAACCCCCAAATCCAACTTTTTATTCTGATTTGCCAAATATCGCCACTGAACACTGATTTCAATCCTATCACGAAACTCGGTTTCATTTTCACGTAAAACCACCATCGTATTTGGAACCAGCAAGGCAGATTACCCTTAAATACAAAATTTTGCCCTAGTTGGACTAATTTCACTAGTGAATTTTGAATTCAAATTGTAGTGAAATCGTTTCGTACACTGTAGGATGATGCCGTATCTGTCGTGAGCAAAATCTGCTTGTCTTCGGTGTAAATTAGGTGCAAATTAGCGTTGCTGGCAGTTCATGACCTCTCATATCCCCTGCTAATTACATGGCGGCATACCTTTCTGGGTAGATAAATTCCGTTCCCCGGGCACAACCTCTTTGTCATCACGATGGTGGTGACAGACTGCTGGTAGAGCTAATGCAAGAAAATGACCTGGCTGCACCCAACATGAACAGTATGTTGAAAAGACCTTATTGTCTCCTTTTCATCTATTTGTTTGCTTTTGAGCTAATACGTTTAATATCGGGTGAGGCAAGCTTAAAAGCGTTTTCTTTTAATTCTCGATATGTATTTTCTTTTGTGTGAAAATATGTGGTGCATTTGCAGCTTTTGACTAACAATACTTGAAACAGAAATTGCGTTTTTGTTATGCAGTTTATTTATCTGGTTGCTTCTAGAGTTGCTTTGCATTTCTTGCGCATACGGGTTTAGGAGCAGCATCTTCGGATCAGTTGCTTGCATGCTTGCTTTTTGAGTCTTGCTCATTGCTGGTTTCATGTAACGTCAATGAGCCATTGCTGCCATATGCATAGCAATTTACAATTTTTTATGTTGACAGTTTTTGTCAAAAGGCTTTGAATTTTCTTTTTAGAGACGAGATCTTTGGATCGGAAGGGAAGATATGCAAATGCTTGCTGAAAATAAATGTTTGCTTGGGATCAACGCGTAATAACGCTCATACAAACAGAGGTGCTACTGGCATCGCATTCTCGGGATATGTGTCCAGCTGCTTGGAACATCCAATAGGTGAGGTGTGAAGTCAGAGCATTCTGCAGCCATGTTGCAGAAGTGGATACTTTACCACTTTGAAGAATGTGTTTATCTCTCCTGCGAAAAAGCATGCGAAGAACCTTATTATATGCACATTTCTGTAAAAAGTGCTTTTTTCTTTCTTTATTGTAAAGTGTTGGTTCCTCACATGTCGAAAAGGAAAGGTGGTGCAAAATTCTTTCTTGCATTTTGAATTATATAAGGAAGTGGTTGTCATGAATGTGCTAAACCTGCTCCCCTTACTTTCGATTTCCCTTTGGAAAAGATCATTTGAAATGAATGTCGACGAGGTGATGTATCGAAAACAGAAAATTTTCATGATTATGCAGTTTGGAAAAATTTTCTCACCGTCAATCAGCATTGAATGAGAGCATAGCTTTTTTTATGTGGTTCAATGCAAGTCTTTTTCCATCGCTTTGCTATTCCATATTCTATGTATCTCTTCGGTCATTTCGTAAAAGACAGGTAGATTTTATTTATTTTAATCATCATTTTAATCCGAACAATTTGCCACCAAGCCAATCCACTACGTGGCGCTTTTGGCCACATATTTCAAATTATGTCATCATCCACATTCATACGACCATCAATCAGTCTCGGAATGCATTCACATCCATCATTCACTGTCAAGCTTCGTAAGAAGCAGGCAGTATCTCAAAGTGCAGCTCCTAGCAGTCTATGCTTTTCTTGGAATAAATTTATATCTCAGTATGCCTTCTTGGAACACGAAAAGTGAAAAATGTGGTTTACATAAAGAAGTGCAATAAAAACTCACACGAAGTGCAGTAGAGCGTAAATGCTTTGTTTACTCAGCTTCTCAAAGGATTCAAAGGTCAGCTATTCACACTAGGTCACAGCTTAGGAGAAAAGCGGAGAGATTTGAAGATGCAGTGAAGTGTTTGCACTTTATGGGATAGTTATTTTTTGTTCATTTTCGCTCATTCATTTTTTGTTTACTCATCATTTTACTCATTAGTTCATCGTTACAGTGATTATTGGATTATTACTTTGTGTAAGCATGCAGCCAAGCTCTTTATTCCACTGTCCCTTTCCACTCTCTTATCATTCATTCATTTTCATTTGTTTGTTTGATCATTCTCATTTTCGTTTATTCCACACATTTCATTCTCTCAGTCCCTTCATACATTTAATCATCACGCAGCAATATGCGAATGGTGGTTATGATGCATCCAGGGTTAAATGGGGGGGAGGGGCAGCCAAGGCTCCATGCAAAATCTGCCCCCCGATGCGTGAATTCAGCTGGCTAGATTCCTGAGCTGAGCTCGGACGTAGATCTCTGAAATCTTGTTTAGTCTTTTTTTAAAATTGTGTAGGCGCTGTTGCGTGTTCCTATTGTTACTTGAAGGACACTTGTTCATGCGCACACATATGTGCACTCGATTTTGCCTAACAAAGTCATATGGCTTTGAAGTCTCACTTGGGATGGATGCCAGAAAAAACCCCTCACTTCCATAGATGAAATCTCGGGCTTAGCGGAAGCACGGGCTGTTTCTCTCATAGCTTACAATATTTTCAGCTGTTACTCTGGCTGCTATGTTTTCCCTCCTTCTCAAGCTTAACAACGCATGTTTTTGTCATGGGACGCTTGGCCTTTTATAATTTGAGACCACGTCTTATCATTTTCTTTTCTATTTCGTTTTCTAACGTGGATTAACCGTGATTCAGAATTGTAACCTCCTTGCGATTTGTGAAGCTTAGAATTGCCCACAAACATGCAGATCTTGCGATTCTGCCCCCATAATGGGACGGAATGGGACAGTTTTTGTGTTTTATTAGGTCGTTCCGAAAGTAATGTCGCTTTTTTCAAATGAACGCCACATTTCATGGAATCAAGATTTTCAAGAAATCTTAAGAGTATTCGATGCAGCATTTCATCCTCTCTCTAAAGGTTGTAATTTCATTGCATAATATCCGATAAGCTTTCTAAAAATTACCAAAATTTGCGACTCATGCTTTTTGCCATGGTCAAGTTCGGCTATTTTTCTAAATTTTTGTACCTATTCTCCGAAGAAGTACAAGCGACGGGTAGATAGGGCAAACCCTACAGGACACAAAATAATTTTTTCTTTTCCTTAGCTTGCTTCTTAGAGTTTCTGGAACCAATTTTTCAATGCCATCAAATTCCATATTTGATCAACTCAAACCTCACAGAACAACAACCGGCAAGCAACTCGGGTGTCATTCGACGCAGCTTTTTCTCCTCTTTTTACCTCTTGTTTTTTGTTTCTGATTCATCAAGTTTTCCGGGATAAAATCATCTTAATTCCGGTTTTCCAGGGCGCCCCAGGCTGTACCCGAAATTTTCGAAAGTTTCTAATCTGAAGCGGTGAATGCTCATTTGGTTTGTAAAATTAGTGTCAAACCATAATCCATCTTTGTAAGTTTCAAAATCCGAGAATTGATTGGTGTTTGATGCATTTGTGTCTTAGACGAGTCCGCTAAAATTCGGTGATTCCATCAAAAAATCTATACAAAGAGGATGACGAGCTCTAAAAAAAAGAAAAAAGTTGTGCTTTTTCCTGTAGGGTTTGCTCTATCCATCCATTACTTGGACTCCTTCCGAAGGTTGTTACAAAAATTTAGAAAAATTGTGAAACTTGGCCTTCTCAAAAAGCATGGGTCGCAGATTTTGATAATTTTTCGAGAAGTTATTCAATTTTGTGCGGTAATTGTATAACCATTAGAAAGAGAATGAAATGCTGCATCAAATGCTACCAGAACCTCTTACACATCTTTATTCCACGAGATGTGGTTTCGTTTGAAAAAAGCGACATTACTTTCGGAACGACCTAATATATAAGATGTTGGTGTATAAACGTTTTGTCAGTAGACCACACCTTCGCGGTTCACTAGCCCTTTTTGCGCATGCTGAAGCTTAAGTGTAGGATCAGAAGTCCGCAGAGACGGTGCTCGGCGTTATCCGAACTTTCATTCTGTAGGACCTCTTAGAAGCGAAAAAATGAATAAGAGTCAAAAATTGCTTTTTCGCTTCTACAGTGTCGATGCTTTCTCACAAGATCTGATCTGGGTCAGTCTCTAGCCTTGTACAGTCCTACAGTGAATTGAACAACGGTGACATGCCTCATTGTTAGCAATCCGCTAACCAATACTTTGTTCAGTTTCACTATTTAGGTTTAAAGTTTTTGAATCAAATTTTTCATGGCTAAGGAATTGAGGCACAGTTCCTGCACTCAATTTTTGGCCTATCCCGAGTGGAGTTGATATGATCAAAACCTAGAATGTTTAGACTTTGTACTGACAGTGTCATGAAGGCTGGTTTGTTATAGACTGTGACTCTTTTTTTTGTGACCTTACGTTATATTGGAAAGCCGCATTATTTTGATTTCAATCACATGCCATCAATCATCTTTTTCTTTTAATGGCAGCATTTTCGCTTCGTGTTTAGCGCTGTATAGATGTTTCTCACCTGTCACGTCCATAAATATACGGAGCATTCCTAATCTTTATCGCGCTGAAGCGACCAAACAATAGCGACAACGAGGGAGAATTGTTCTTATGAGTATGCGATTTGGGTAGAGAAAACAATGACGAAGCTTAGGTTTTGATGACCACTGGCGGTCTTAGGAATTCTTTGCGGAGGTGGTTAGGAGGGAGTGTTAAAATTTTTCTTGCATTTTTTTGATGCTTCCAAGTTGTTCTCATGCTTGTGGACCCGAACCCACCTAAAATAATTTTTCTAATAATTAATTCACTTCTTTGAATTCTCAGAACTATTCTAATTATCCACAGGTCGAGAATTTATTTCTATAACTTATGCAAAACCTTTACCGTTCAATTCCTGCCTGGGTCCGCGCTTCTGATCCTCGCGCGATATGCCATAGAATTTGTGGGGAAGAACAGTAATATGCGAAGATTGCGGCTGTTGGCGTTATGCATTCCTTCTACCCACGCTTTTTAGATCTTCTTAGCAGACAGAAAATTTGAACAAATTGTTAAGTAGGTGATACCTCACACCGTAGCTGACGCGTAGCCTGCGTTGCTGTTTATACTCGTAAGATTCTGCTGACGTCTGCTATGCTGTATACGTGCGTAACTTGCAGAAGTTGAGGCGTGTTGATGGCAAAGCGTTGATTTTTTTCTTTTGCGGAGGAAGAAAAATGAGAACTCCGTGCTAGAAAACGCACGCAATATATCACTACCGGAAACTGCGCTTTTTTTTCTCTAGGTGATGAATCTTTCTTTAAGTTTCAAAACATGAACATAAATCCTTAGCATTGTATTTTTGCTGATGTATGACAAGAGATGAGGCTGAAAAAGTAGTTGAGGCATACTGATGACATTCTACTATTCTTCACCCAGTCCTTGAAATAACTCACAGTACTAGTAGAAGTATTTATGCTTGGACTGTGTGCATAGTTACATTTGTGCAGCCAGGTGGCACATCAGCCGCGATGCCACCTCTTTTCGCGTTCCGTATCCACTTTGATTCCCTCACCGCAGCGGCATCGCGGCGCTCGTTACCATCCATGTAATGGTAGCTACAGCTTATGTCAATCGTGAACTATCCTTTCCGTCGGCGCAAGCGCCACGCCAGAGCTTCGCGCCACGTCGCGCGCGTATGCCTCAGGCATTGGATTAGTGTCATCCATTGAAGGAATGCATGCAAGAGAATGGGATGTAATGGGATGGGACACAAACTGCACTATATTTACACGTGCGGCTAGCTCGCATCGAAATACTGTTTCTGTCTTTTCTATCTTTTTAAAAGATGTTTTGAACGACACAAAACGCTGATTTTAGATCTGCCCACCTTATCTGCGAACGTTTTTGCCACGAGGAGTCGTTAGTGTTTTTTCCTGCACGAAGAATTAGGTAGCGCTCCTTGGAGCCAAGAATTCTGTGACTTGGATGAAATTAGTCGTTAGAATTTTACTAGCTCAAATGAGGCAATGGTGAATCAAGTGAATCATTTTTGAACGCATATCGCAAAGTGT